AACTGTTATGGAACATGGATATGAATTAACCAAAATAATTAGTTATTCACAGGATTTTATAATGCATGATGAGATGAGAGGAAGAAAAAAAGCAAGCAATGAAATTTTTAAACATTAAAATTAAGTACAAAACAATAATTATTGCTAAATACACAAAATGGAAATATAAACACAGTGTGGTTTATATCAACCAACTAAAAAGACGTCATAATTTTCCCTTTTATATAACATGGGATGTAAGTTACAAACGGCAGTGAATAGAATTTGGATAGTTTAAATTGATACACAAATGATTTAATTGATACAAAAAGTGTTTAAACATAAGTTTCTTTTTTTAAAAAAAAAAACAACTTTAGTTCTCATATAAGTTTTGAAGAGAGGGAAAAAAAATATTTTCATAAAAATTTAAGCAGGGTAAAGACTGGCTATTGAGAAATATTTTATAAAAATTTCGAAAATGTAGCAGTTTGAAAGTAATTTTCAGATACGAAACCCCAAATGAAAAATGTATTTTGGATATGGACATAAATTCTTAAAATCGATCTTCTTTAAATTTGCTCATTTCCTTCGGAGAAAATTAGCAATAGCAAAATATTAAAAAAAAAAAATGGATTTATTTGATTTAAGTTGGATTTTTGTTGATTTAAATCAGATTTTTTTAAAATCATTTATATATTTACCAATTAAATGATAAGATAAAATGTATTAATAAAAATTAATATTTATAACTAAAATGCCTAGAGTTATTTAACTATTACAAATTAGTCATTAAAAAAATAAAATCACAGTTATTTTTGTTGAAGCTGAACATACTAACATTTTAAAGACTGGGAAGCAATTTGTCAGCTAGATATCCAATGAAGAGTAAATTAGAATACATTAATGAAAAAAAAAATTATTCTCAGTTTTTCTGGGCAGAACAAGCCTTTCTCTAATCCAGCGTTTCCCAAACGTAAGACTTTTGTGTACCCTGTCTAAATCTTTCGAAACGCTGTGTACCACTGATAAAAAAAATGAATGTATTTTTTACAATAAAAAAAAATTGTACTACAGTTAAAAATCACAACTGGCTGTTGACACCACTAATTATTAACTAACTCAGGAAAAAATAGCCTATAGAAAAATACGTAATCGCAAATTTTCATGGCTAGCTTTGTTTTTAATTTTTTCTAAAAATTTTTCGTAAGTTTCAAGATATTTTGCATATTGTACCCCCACTAAACTGTTCCTGTACATGCGTACCACACTTTGGGAAACACTGCTCTATTCATTGATATAAACTAACTACACATTCAATAAGTTTTAAAAACACTCGTATTTAAATAAACATAAAACTAAATTAGTAGAGTTAACTAAACGGGTAGAAATATATTATCAGAAAAAAAATTTTTTTATACAGTTGCTAGAAAATTATAATTGAAAAATTTCCCATCACTTTTTTATAAGACTATTTTGAAACATAATAATCGATTTACATCCTCTTATCACTATTTCTTTGGATAAAAATATATTTATTATTGATATTAATGACTATTATTGATAATGATTCTCTATAATCAATACTGTACAAAAATATTTTCGATGTAATGATTTATTTTAAATATGTTATTTTAAATCGCTGATACTTAAAAAACAAACAGTTGATTTAAATTAATGATTTTTACACCATTTTGTATTAATCGTATCATAAGATGAAAAAAAAAAAAATTCTCAAATGTCTATGTGCCCAATAAAGTTTCTGCAATATCAAGAAACAAGCTCTTGTCATCGTTTCTTTAAACTCCCAATAACAAAAACAAACATTTTTTAAAAAATGAAACGGGTGAAATATTACTGAAATTAGCTTTTCCAACTAATGGATAGCAATATTAAATTATCGGTACTTATTTCATTAGAAGCAGTCATACACATCGTTTTGGTTTATCAGACATTTCCATCAAAAATGCTACCAAAAAGGGAACAAAAATAAATCAAGTACACTAGAGCTACAAAATCACTGGTCTGGAAGAATCAATGTTGCGGATTGTAAGGAGCATTCGCACTGCTATGCTGACTTGTACTTTGTAAAAAAGAAAAGCTTCAAAGGTCCAAGGTTAAAGTGTTTATCAGATAGATAACCAAATTAGAATGAAAATAGTGAAATAGAATAGTGTTGCAAATCTGTCAGCACATATTTTTTGTGTAAGTCTACTTTTAATTTTAAAAAAGACAACAAAATTCAATGAAAATATCAAAAAACTACAAGTCTGGTTTATGTATGTCGAAGATCAGTAAGTAACTAATTGAACCCAACCAGAAACATATACATTTTGTTAATTGTAACATTATACATATAAATGAGTATACATATTTAAGTGAGGTAAAATAAAGACTAGTAAATCGAAAGTCAGAATGATATAGAACTCAAAAATGGCATAAAACTTTTTAATAAAAATTTATATAAACTAATAAAAAAGTAAGATTCATTTTTAAAAAGGGGATATAACATTCACTATATAAAGTGAACACTTATTTATGAAACTAGTAGTTGTTAAATAAAAGATACAAGTAAAGGGTTTGTAAGCAATAAGCAATATATTTACAAATGTCAAATCATAGCATTAAAATGCACCTGATTATTGTTTGTAGATAGTTTCTGAAATTTTCTTTAACAAATCAGGGCACAAGTTTTTCATCAAAAATGCTCTCTTTAACAATTTGAAAAGACAGCTTATCATTACAATACACAGTTGCCAACATGGATTGGAAAAAAAAAATCCAATCGATTTTATGTAATATTAATTTGATAACAACTGTAGCATACTAAACCAAATATTATATGCAGAGGGAGTTTTAGCTTAACTTTATTACACTTTTAAACTATAAATGGGTTGCTATATTTTCCATTTATGATTTCTCATAATTTTGAATTATGATAGACATTTAATTCATTTAAGATTTAAAAAAGGAAGTTCTGAATAAAAATAAGCTAAAAATGTTAGAAAAAAAAGGAGTTTTAAACTGATTACGATTCATTATGTATTAGTAATACTTATTTAAACAAGCAATAATCTGCACAAAAATTCTATTTCAATGGAGATTTTTTTTTACGAAATTTACTCATTTTCAGGGAATTCTCAAAAATGCACAAAAACCAGGAGAAATTTTATTAAACCAGTAAATTAGGAGAAACTGGCAAAATCCAATAGAGTTGGCAACTATGGTAATACCATAAACTCTTCCTATAATGTATTTCAAAAATATTAAACAATAAAATACAAGAAACAAAACAAAAATAATCTATTATAAAAAGTGTACTTTACAATAAGTAATAAAAATAGGGCAAAATTTAAACAATGTAATGTCATAAAGTATAAAATAAGATTTCACCAATATCAATTTAAAAATATTTAAGACCATGAAAAATTCAAATTATTTTATCACTTTCATAAGTTTTTATCAATTACATTGGCTTTCACAACATAGAATTGACAAAAATCCATTTCATACAAACAAACACAATAATAGTCAGTACTAAGGCTATCCAAAATTTATTCTTTGGAAAAGATTGAATGAGACAAGTACTATATAACAATTCCTTATTAGCTTGCTTTTGAATGAACACTATGGATAAGGCACACATTTTATATATATTATTTGAAATTGTCTTTATCATAGATGTATGATACAACTGTTATGGAACATGGATATGAATTAACCAAAATAATTAGTTATTCACAGGATTTTATAATGCATGATGAGATGAGAGGAAGAAAAAAAGCAAGCAATGAAATTTTTAAACATTAAAATTAAGTACAAAACAATAATTATTNCACATAATATTATTCATTTGCAAGATAAATACACTATCATTAAAAATTAATCACGTCTAACACTTGTTAATCAAACACCTGCATGTGTAATTTGATTATTTTCCCCTGCTTTTTTTTAAAAAAATGTCTTTTTTTATATAAAAAAAAAAACAAAAACAAAGTTAGGTTAAAATTAACATACGCTAATTCTGTCTCCATAACCTAGATAGAAAATTATAAATTCCAAATGAATAATGTGTACACTTCCTAACTTTTTTTTTTGTATTTTGCCGATAGTTTTAGTTGTATTTGATGTTCTATATTGCGTAGGCGGAATCACAGATCTGAATGGAAAAATAGACACAAAACATTATTCCAGGTAAAATACTTAACAGTAAAATAAAGAAGCCTTTTGATGGTCAGCACTTCCATATTTAAGTATTTTTTAATTTATTTAAATATATAATTAAATTAATTGTAATGAAATTATAGTTATTCATTACATTTTGCATAATAAAAATAAAACAGTTACTACAATATACAAACACTATACATATGCATTAATTTCTTATCCATATAAACTTCAAATATAATATTTAAAATTACTTTAATTAATAAAATCTGCAAAATGAATAAAAAAAAATATTTTGTTCAAAAAAACTAGGACATGTATCTCCTTCACTACAAACATTCAGAAGAATTTTATATAAAGAGATCACTTAGCTAAAGATAGTTCATTACATTTTACAAACAAAAAAAAAAAAATTAATGGAACTCAATACTTTTCACATTAATAAAAAAAATACAAAAAGCTAGGAAAAATATTCAAAGTATGATTACTCAGATCCCGATTTTGGCGATGTCAGCATTTTTTTTTCTCTTTTAAGGCATTTTTTAAGTTTTTGCAGTATTTTTTTTCCATTTTTATTACTCTAATATCTAGTAATATTGGAAGTTTTCATGCTTATTAAAATTTATGTACAAAAGAAAAAGTTAATATATTTTCCCTTTTTTGTTATTATTTTTGCATAGCATTTCAAACTGAAATGAAAGTAAAATAAGCATTGCATAGCTATATATATATTTTGACATGAATAAAAGTAATTTTTAAAGAGGATAACTGTGTTTTAATTTAATATTTTCACTTAAATATTAGGGAATTTATAAGGATTCTTTTAGGTCATCAACATCTGTGTTCTCAATCATTACACACATTGATTACATTAAAACAAGGCAGAAAGTAAATATCAGGAAGAATTACATTGATTATTGCTAACTAGAGAGAAAAATATTCCAAATAGATTTTAAAACTCAATTACAACACCTAAATAGTGAAGTTTCTGACGCAAATTTATTAACAGAACTGATTAATTAATTTTTGTAATATTTTTTAATAATATGTCATATTATCAGTATTTTTTCCTTTTGTAAAAAATCAAATCAAATTTTTTTAATTTATAAAAAAAACAACAGTAGTATGAAAATTATGATAGTTAACTATCCATAACAAAATCACTTGGAACACCTAATAAAACCTTGCACACTTAAATAACAATATTTATTTAAATAAAATCTATTCATTAACTAACAAAACAACTAATGTGGTAATCATTTATACAATTTGGTGAGAATATATTAACGAACGTGATAGATAAATGCACTTAATACAGGCACCAGTAACCATAAGTTAAAATTTATGCACAGTTGTAAGGTCATAAATAAAATTTTATTTACAATATTTGTACATTCCTATAATTTTATTTTTCTAAAGGTCTCACTGCTTCATTCATAAGATCGTCATCAATTGCATATGAGAGGGGCCTTAATGAATGATTAGGAGTTAATACTTGTACAGGTGACTTAGTGAGAGATGGTTGATTAAGTAAAAATGTATTGGGTGATTTTTCAGGTTTTTCGTCCTCCAAAACACTTAAAATAATGCTATTATCTATACACGGACTGGACCATTTTTCATTACTCCCACAATCTATCACCAAACACTCTTCGGGACTGCTGTCGTCACCACCCCGTTCCATCGGTCGCTTCACTTGTTTCAGTGACTTCAATAGTGGAGCGGAAGATTTACCGTGATCTTCCGACGATGGAATCATATTCAAGTTCATCATGTTCTCGTACTTGTTGGACGAAGAAATTTCAACTTGAGAATTGAGTTTGCAGTCGATGTCATTCAAATTCAAACAATTGACATCTTCCATTTTTGTGGTAGAGCTCGGAGCACTCGAAGACTTGATGTCACTGCTGTTAGGAATCCATTGTACTTTGTCATCAATATCAGGCTTAATAATTTCCACTTTACAGTAATCTACAGGAGTGGGGAGAATCATTTGGGGTCCCTTTGAAGAGGTAATTTGCTCAGATAGTAATGAATCAGTTTTCGATTGGCTGGAAGGATGTCTGTACGGCCGATCACTTTCCATGTCGTCAATTAAAATCTCACGAGTTGGTGTGTGTCTTGGGGACTGGCGAGAACCTTCATCGACACGCTTGGGAGTGCTACCGCTCGACGATATCCGGCAAGTATCACTCGATGATTTACTAACAGGGGGTGGCATTAGATTTAAAGCAGAACTAGGAAACATTTCTTTATTCTCGTTTTGTGAAGGTTTTAAATCACCAAACGACTTTTTATCACTTTTGTCTTGTGTTTTTGACATTGAGCCACTAGTTTTACTTTGCGATGAAGACGATACATGTTTAGAAAGAGATTTATTTATTGTATTGCCCGAACTGCTGGTTCTGGGAGATAAGGCAGATGAAGGGGAAGATATCTTTTGTGAAGTTTGTTGATTCTGTTTGAGTGGATTACCACTACTCAAATTTGATATTTTAGAAGATGTCCCAAGATTTGTTTGAGCTGAAGAGTATATCTTTTTTGATGCAGGTGAAACATTTCCACATTTAGATGGGTTGCTACTAGAAGATTTTGAAACATTTGATAAACTACTGGAAGAAAGAACTGATGAACTTTTATTTGACTGTTTAGATTTACTAGATTTTGAGCTTCCATCACTTGCTCGGGTTTTCGTGACAGTTAACTTTATCCCTGAACTCTGTTTAACGGTAAATTGTTCTGAGCTAGAATATTTAGATTTTTCACTAACCTTGGAAATGAGGGAAGAATCCTTCGAGTTATCTTTCCTTTCGAGTTTCGACTCTTTTCTATCCACGAGAGCATCAGACCTCATAGCATCACATTTGGGGTTTTCCAAGCCATCCACACTACTGAATTGAGCATTAACTTTCAATTTATCTATGACAGCACTTAAAGAGCATTTACGTGAACGAAGAGCAGATTTATTAGCTTTGGAATTGTTGGATCCAGATTTTCCAGAAGGCGATCCTGGATTTAAAATAGTTGCTTGCATAACTAAAGCATCATTTGATGGTACAGCGGATGAAACCTTTGAAATGATAGGAGAAATAGTCACAGCAGATGGCATCACGTTTTTAAGCTTGATGGTAGCAGATTTTGGTTTGCTCGGGGATGAACGGCCACTCGAATGAGAAGTTGAGCTAGAACTACTTTTGCCACTTGAGCTCTGTTTATGTTTACTTGGAATTTTAAGAGTAGGGTTACCCTTTTTAGAGTCTGGATCAGAGCTGGAAACTTTTAAAGGGAAATTAGTCCGAGGAGGAGATGGTTTTATTGACTTCTCAGATGAAATCTTCAAACTGCTATTTTTCGAGCTTGGACTATTGCTTAACGATTTCTTCGAGTATACAGGAGATTTTGATTGAAAATTAGAACTGGAGGATAAACTAGGTGCAGTTTTAACATTTAGAGTGATAGGACGAATAGGTTGAGTCTCAGCTGAAGAAACTATTGATGATGAATCAGATGTAGATGATGGTGGTGGCATTAAAGATGAATCTATATTTAAATGTAAAGGACGTACAGGTGACCTTCCAGAAGAACTCCCAGAGTTCTCCGCTCTCTTACGTTTACGCTCCTTTTTTGCATCACTTTTCTTTTTGTCCGAGCTCTCACTAGACTTCTTACTTTCTTTCAATTTCACTTTTGTCTCACTTTTTGAAACCTTATGACCATCTCCCGATTTGGCAATTTTTAAACTAGTTCCAAGAAAAACTAGCTGCGATGAATGAGAGGAACTGCTTTTTGCAGACAAAGACAAGTCTTCTGATTGACTGTTTTCTGTTTCACTGAAGGATTTTTGAGAAAGATCTCCTATGCTACTTTCATCACTACTGTTATCATGGCCTTTCCCCACTTCACCACTCTCTGTTATATCACTCTTTTCTTTGTATTTCTTTTTCTTAAACTGCTTGTCACTTGATTTTGAAGACACTACATTACTTTGACTGCTTTCCATGCTGTATGCGTTGTCATCATCCATGTCAATGTCACTAGAAATGGCTACAGCCCCACCATAACTAGTGTCACTAGGCCCTAAAAAAGGCTTCATTTCTAAGAGGTTGTCAGATCCAAAATATTGAGTTTTAACTTGGGAGAAATTCCGAACTATCTCAAGGTTGGTGGGTGTGCCCCCTTCACTAAGACGACTGGAGTCATTGACATTTAAAGATTCACGAGGTTGAAACTCTTCATGCATTAAGTAACTATCAGTACTTGCAGATCTTTGGGGAAAACCAGGAGATGCTCCGGGTTCAGTTTTTATAAAAGATTCTACTGAACCAATGCGATGAGTCAATTGCTGCTCAGCTGGGGTGGAAGGTAAGCTTGCAGGCAGACTACTACATGCTTCATATGCCAGAGGACTATCACAAATCTCTCCATCTGGAGTTGATCTGTCTCTGACGTAATCATCTTCACTCAACTTTCGCTTAGGGCTTCTACCAGCAGAACTCCCCGGACTACGATTTTCACTTTTCTTTTTTCTCTTGCGACTTTTACCAGGAATGTTCGGGGAATTTTCACCTTGGCTTAAAAAAGGAAAAGATGCACTCGATGGGTTGGCAGCCGGCACATCACTTAACATGCTCATTAGCATTGTATTGGCTTGCCGTCGCTGTTGGTATGGGTTGGAACTTCCATTCACAGAGTTTTTTGATTTATCGCTGTTAAAATTATCAGCACTATTGGATTGCGCAGGATCAGTTTCCATTTTAAGAGGTGGATTGTCAGCATTTGATTGAGACAAACTTGGGTTTTCCGGTGCTTGATTTCCTGCGCCGTTTTTTGAAGCTTTTGTGGTACTAACATTATCGCTGGGTTTGTTACACATTCTAGATGCTAAATTAGAAAAATCTCCACCAGGAAATGATGACCCATTTGTCAAACTATTTCCATAATTAGGTAAATGAGATAAGTATGGAACTGAACCGCTACCTCCAACAGTAGCTCCATATGCATCTCCTTGACTTGACGATCGCATCAACTGCTGTTGACCTTGAGCTTTTCGAATAACAGCTCTCATAGTTATAGGAATTGAAAGGCATCTGAAATTAAAAAAGACATGCATTAATAATGAATGTAAGTATATTTTATGTAAAACTTAAAGAATTATTTTCAATTAAATCAGAAAGAAAATTAATCAGCTTGAATATTTTAGAAAATCATTGCAATAATCTCTTTTTTTCTCTGTTCACCTTTTGCTTAAGTAGAAGGAAACCAATAAGCTTCTTCTCTATGAATAAGGATGGGTAGAATAAATTTAAATTAATATAAGTATCTCTTGTAATATATCATTAAAAATTTGAAAACTGATACTTTAAGCAGAAATTTCTAAAAAAAATAATAAAGTTAAGATACAAGAATAACAATATGAAAGCAATTACCAAATAACTACTTCGTTTATCATTATATAAGTTTTTGTAATCTTAAGCACATTTTGAATATATTCTTCTACAAATGAACTTGCATAATTGAGTACAAGGAAAAAATTCATAATATATAGAAATATATAAATGAATGTTAGAAAAGTGTGATATGAAAAAGTTTTTATGTCCTTCGATATTAAATGTGTTGCTTCATTTAAAAGATAAATACTAGTTACATTCATTAAGTATAAAATAATTAGAAATAAATTATGCAGAAAAATAAACATCCTCTAGTACCTTTGCATGACTTTGCTAGCATATTCATCTGTACACATTGTAGCATCACTGCTAAGAGTATATATTTTGCAGCTTACTTTATTCAGATCTTTAAGATCAATATCGACTGAAAATAGGATATGTTATCAATTAGCAACAAGTTAAATAATGAAATTTCATAAAATAAGAAAGTATAATGAATAAAATAAAATGCAGTTTGTTCTTAGAAAACATCATTATATAATGATTAGAATGAACAGTCTTTTTTTCATACGTTTTTAAATACTTATTTTTTTCATGCATAAAAAAAAAAAAGATCAATGTAGATTAACTAAAAATAAATATCTTTTACAAATTAAAAGAAAAGAATTGTGGTAATANAAAATGCAGTTTGTTCTTAGAAAACATCATTATATAATTCTGAACAGTCTTTTTTTTCCATACGTTTTTAAATACTTATTTTTTTCATGCATAAAAAAAAGATCAATGTAGATTAACTAAAAATAAATATCCTTTACAAATTAAAAGAAAAGAATTGTGGTAATATAAATATTAAAAAAAAAGAAAGAAATCAGATATGCTGAAACTTAATTTAATAGACAAGAAAAACTATATTTCCTCACTTTTGTAATACAGTGCACTCCCGATTATCCGGGTTAATCACCGGGACAGGGAGCACGGAGAATCGAAAAACACGGAGATCCGAAAACTCTTTTAATTAGAGAAAAAATCATTATAAGTACAAAAAATATAAAAATTACTGACATTTGCATGCTATATAACATCAAACTGGGAATTTTCCTTTTAAAAAATTGGGTAATGAGTCTTCGTCATATGTTTTACGAACCGCAGTAATGTCACCGTAATCAAATCCTCCTATAATCTAATAAAATTTCCACAGAGCAGTAGAAATAGAAATTGTATTTCTCTCATTTACTACATCTTCTGCATCAGTTACTATCATCACTATTTGATTTAATAACATAACAATGTCTTCATCTGTCAAATATTGGAAGTCAGGCTCACTTGCATCACTTTGAAATCAATCTTAAAAATTTTCTTCGTCAAGAATTTCGAAACCCCAGATTTCTTTTACTTGTTCGAGAATACTGTTATCATATTTTTCTTGAACATCTGAAGAAGATTGCTCATCAAGCAATATTACCTTTCTCCAAGATCGTGATAAAGTAGACGATTTTACCTTTGACCATGCTGCTGATATTCGATATACTTCAATCCACTAACGAATATTGCTTCATGAATAAATTTTTTTTTAATCTTTAAAATGTTTCTCTTTATATTTTTCGTGTGACTCCGAAATGAGCATGGATAATCCTCAAACCGGATAATCTGCACACGGATAATCGAGAGTGTACTGTAGTTCATAACTTTAAATAAACAACATATAAGGTTAGCCATAAGAAATTATTTCAAACATTAATAAAGATACATACTCCAGAATGGTATGAGGGTTAAAATAAAATAAAAGTGTTGCGATAAAGTGCTTTACCTGTGGCCAAAGATTCTTCTAAAGGGTGCTCAAATGATACAAGAATATGAGAGGTAGAATATGCCATTCCTTCAAACATGAATGGAGACTCAGCATCTAAGCAAATATATCACAAATAAATTTTGAAATATAAATATGAAATGAGCATAAACTTAAAAAACTGAAGCAAAAATATTTTTCTAAATCCTTTCAATTTTAGTCATTTAACTCAAATTGTTTCAAATTCAACAAATACTGTCCATCTCAAAAGTAGTCAATCAGAAAATGGAATCTCTGATGAGAAGTGTGAGCATCTACATTGCACACAGCAACGTGCTTGTAACAGATGGCTCTAGCTTGATTAGGCGAGACATGATTCAACATCATTATTCACACTATGCCCAGTTTTAGCATAATTGAACTGGAATTGGACAAAATTTTTGTTTCCGCCTTAAACCTGGAGGTTGGCACACTCATACATGGATAAAATTTGAAGTTTAAAGAATCTAAATGTAGTTATATCTCATGTTTGAGTGAGTTGGAGAAAAGTAATTAAATATAACATTTTAAAAGAAAAGCGATAACTTAGCAATCTGTGTTAAGATTATTATCAAGTTTTTATTTTAGTCCTAAATAGCCAAAATATTTTTTCAACTAAGCTTATATGAACAAATTATTCTGCTTGACTTTAATATTAGATTTACGACGAAAAAAATTAGATTTAACAAAAAATCTAGTAAATTTTTCAATGAATCAGACACAAAATCAAAAGATGTATAAGAAAATTATAAAATACCTTTTTTACTTGATGGTCTAATACAACTACTGATCACAGTATTAAAAAGCATTTGCTGTCGCAAAAAAACTAATATTTGAGGCACGTGTGTGGGATGTGTGAAAGGAATGGATGAAACCATAACTCCTTGCAAATCGGAACTGGAATTCAAGAAATAACAGTGATGCTGATCTGGCAATGTCTGAAATACATAAAATATATGTACATATTAGCAAAAAAACATCACTTTAAGGTATTTTTTCATGATAAAAAATTCTAAAACTGAAAGACAATTAAAACTATTTTTTAGCAAAATATTTTCACAGTTAAACACATAAGGTCAATTTTATAGTAGTCATTTTGTAGTCTTCCTTTTTTTGTTTGTTTTTTGAAGGGAGATTTTTAAAAGTTGAAATTTGTACCATTTATTATAGTTTTAGTAATTGTATACTATCACAAAGATTGCCTGCATAAAAACCATTTTTATAAGCACACATATTTAAATCTTTGCAACTATGATTTAATGTAAAAGTACAAGGGCTCTAAAACCACTAAAATTTTTACATACCCTGCTGAGAATGTTATTCTACAAGATACATGCCCAATCATCTTTTTTTTAAATGTTTACTTATGGAAGCATATGAATGAATATATCATTAACATAGATTAAAAAAAAAACATAAATATTAAGTAAGAATAAATTTTAAACATAATTTACATAAAAAATAGGTCAAATGCTAGTATATGTTACATGCTGAACACTATTTTGAAAGAAAGATGCGCTGACGCTCAACACGCAACTTTTTGCAATTCAAAAACGCAAAATGACTAAAAAGCAATAGCCCACTGAATCTTACCAAATCTACAAATACAGATTTTATCATCCTTCTAAACGTCGCCAGATTCACCATGTTCACATACCAGGATTAAGCTTAAAAATATCAACTGCTTTGTTATTATTGGATTTTGTTAAAGATATGATGCAGTTGTTGAAGAAAAGTTATAAAAACCATTTCATTCTTAGAGTTTGCTTTCACGTTGTAATTTAGATTATTTTTTATGCACAGTGTTAAACATTTGTTTAACATTACGACAAACTTTCAACAATGATATACCCATCAGACTTAACAAAGATATAATAAACTATTTCATTATCATCAACTCTTTAGAGTGTAGTATATTTTTAAAATTTTGATTAATTTGCTACAATGGATACTTTGATCTAAAAATACTAGTGATTGGAAAAAATTGGTATTCTAAATTTTTTTACCACATTTATTATAAATCTAAACAAATATTATTTAATGCTTGTACATCAATGTTAGTGAATGTACTACTTGTGCTTTTCGAAAGATAAAATATTAAACGTTAACTAGTAGTAGGGCCAGGTCAGTACTATAACCACACTAGTATGTCATACATAGTATTACAGCAATTGGTATAAGCTTTTATTTAATAATTTTTAATCATTTGTATACTAATTAGAAATAATTGAGTAGCTTTTGCTTGTTTTAGGTAATAAAACTATAATTAATCTCCATTATATAATATTACTTGATTACAAGCTTTAAAAATTTCATTTAAATTGAGTAAATTAGGTAAAAAAATAGTTAAGAACTTACATACAAAACAAGTTAGATACTATTCAGCTGAATTTTTAATTTCTAAGCTTAATTTCTGCCAAAAAAATAAATAAATCTTAAAGCGAGGACCACACTAATTAGATTCTACAATCATTCAACCCAAATTGCTTATTAAAACAGATAAAAATAGAAAACTACTAAGATCTTAGAGTTAAAAATAGAGTTTCAGTCTCCCTTCTAAACAATGCTGACTATTGAGGTATGATATTATGGCATTATTTTATATAAAGCTATTTGAATGAACCCTACAATTTTTAAAAATTGAAAGAGTAATTACTTACAACCCATAAACCTTGATCTCCTGCGGATAGTTTACCACTCGAGGCATCATTAATGATGACAGATAATAAGGGTAGAGCATTCGATAAGTCACCACAGTCAGGGATTTCTAAACATAAAGAAAAAAATTCACATTTAAATTTGTTCATTAATTTATAATATCTTTCTTTCATAATAATATGGTAAACCATTGAAATATGATTAGATTTAAACTTGCCTGCTTCAGTTGGTTAAACATTACAACAACAACATTAAAAAAAAAAAGGTTTCTGCATTATTTTACAGCATATTAATTTTATGAACTAATTTGTATCAAATTACTAATTAAATGTGTTTGTTATCAAAACCAGCTCACAGTCAGTTCACAGAAATTTCACAGGAAAAAATAAATATTGCTCCAACATTTAAATTTGAGTTCATGTCTTCAAAGTGAGCAAAGACATATAGTTGTTACAAGATAAATAAAACTGTAAAAAAGAATTTCAGTTTTCGTTTGAATTGATAGGATGCTCAGCCTATGCTTGTTCCACTTTTCTATCTCAACAACTGCCTCATTATTGATATTTGTTTTCTCTAAAAAGTTGATATCTACTATAAAAACAAATAATATTTTGTGATTAAAGTATATAATTAATATAATAATAAGTAAGTTTATTTTACCAATGCAATTATAGATCTTGGAGTAAAATTTGAAAATTTTAGGGCATCAATTTTACAAAAATGTAAAATATTTTTTACGCAATCAATGATGATTTAGTTTTTATTCATTATTTAGATATCTTAAATTTCGATAAAATGGAATTTATTTTAATAGCACACACAATTTTTTAAAATAACCAAAAAAACATGGTAAAAAATAAATAATTAAGAAAGGGTATCTTTTTTTCTTAAATCAATCAAAAAGAAGGAAAAAAAGGTTAAAGCTTACAAAATAAAACTAATTATTTCTTTAGTAGTAGACAGAGCTGGTTTTGTGAACAAGCATTTCCATGCAAGTTGGTAATTTTTCCACATGTACACCAATTTAAATACATAAATAAATTATACGAAACAAAATATAACTAAAACATTTAAAAATTAAGTTTCAATTTCAAACAAATCAACGTTATTTAATAGGCATATTAAAAATGACATAAACTTTTTTTTCTTCCAAATACAACATACTTCGACAAACATACAGTTTGAGAACATACTTACTAGCATTAGTAACACTCTGAATATCTTTGACCAAACTAGTAGCCATAGGAATTGGTTTGGGTAATTTCAATACAAAATGAGCAGGTAAAATTGTGCTGTTTAAGTTACTCAAGGCAGCAAATTGTGGTTGACTAAATAAGAAAAACATGATAAATCAGACAAACTTAAATATTGATAAAACCAATATAATACAAAAATAACATTTCTGCATTAAAATGAAATGCACAAAAAAAAAAAAAAANTGTCTAAAAAAAAAAAAAAAAAAAAAAAAAAAAAAAAAAAATGTAAATACAAATAGAAAATAAAAAATTTAAACAATTTTGAATAAGTTTCTTTATAAGGATAGTCTCTTTTTTTTTCTTCCTATTCCTATTCACTAAAACTTGCAAAGAGTTTCAATTTTGGTAGATCTTTAAAGGGAAAAAAATTATACATCAGTGCATAAATAACATCTAGATTCATAAAAGTGCAAGGCTTTGGACATATGAATTGAGTCTCATTCACTACACAAAATTGCACGCCATTAATTCTCGATTTAAACCAATATATATTTCAATACTAAATGACATAAAATTTAGATTACACACATGCAATAGGATATACCTCAAACACTCTTTTTCTCAACTCAAATTTTAAAAAATTTTGTCCTATATTTACTTAAACATTTTAAGCATTTAGGTCTCATGTAATGACTCCAAAACTTTCTCTTTTCCTTTTTGAGTCTAAAATGCAATTTAAAAATTTTTTAAAAAAGTCCTATATAAAAATTAATATAAAAGAAATATTAGTTTTTAAGTTCAGAAACATAACATTGAGGCTTCACAGAAGCTACAAATACACAGATTCAATTTCAACCCATCTTTAGATTAGATTATTATGGAGATACTGGAAAAATAAAATGTTATATTTCATACACATTTGTTTTTACTGCTTCTTCAGATTCAAAACGTTATGCTAACTAAATTAAAATGTTTTATATTCATGCTCTAAATGCAAATTAAAACTTATGCTTTTGACCCCCCCCCCTCAAAAAAGAAAGAAAATCACTTTAATGTTTTGGGAAGATATACAACCACAATGTCAACTTTTAAAAATCCCTAATCAGAAACCGTATTGGAACATGCAGGGTAGCAGCAAAGTTTTTTTAAATTTTAGGGTAATTTTAGAAACTTTTTTCAAAAAATTTTAGGTAAATTTTAGGGGTAATATATGATTTTGCTAGGATAAAAAACAGATCACACGGTAGTTTATTACATAACAGAAGATTATTACAATTCATCCACNTTTTCTGGTACAACAACGGATTTTGGACGACCTGCACGGGATTTGTCCTGGATCGAACATCGACCACGATTAAATTCGTTGTCCCAATTTTTTACAGTGCTGTAGGATGGCGCTTTATCGCTGAATAAAGAATTAAGTTCATCAAAGCACTCTTGTCTTGACAATCCACGTCGAAAGTTATGAAAAATAAAGGCACAAAAATGTTCAAGATTCAATTCCATTTTTTGAAAGAGAAGAACTTTTCAATTTACTGTCAACAACACAAATGAAGCTATAATGGTAAATCGTCTGCTGAATTTATGTTTAAAAATATCAAACTTTCGATTAAAATCGTCTGCGGTCGCCTAGCAACACTTACTGTTGCCAAGGCCAGAAATATAAATAGCAACCCTCGTACAAATACACAGATTCAATTTCAACCCATCTTTGGATTAGATTACTATGTAGATACTGGAAAAATAAAATGGTATATTTCATATACATTTGTTTTTGCTGCTTATTAAGCAAATTAAATTAATTGCTAAGCAAATTGCAATGCAAATTAATTGCTAAGCAAATTAAAATTCATGCTTTTGACCCCCCCCCCTCCTCAAAAAAGAAATAAAATTCCTTTAATGTTTTGGGAAAATATACAACCACAATGTCAACTTTTAAAAATCCCTAATCAGAAACCGTATTGGAACATGCATAAATCTAAAAAGTACTCAGAACTTTTCTAACAATAGAAAGATACAGAAACATTTAACATTACAAATATTAACCTAAACTGAATGATAAATGTAATAAGGTTGAAACTGATGTAATAAGATTAAGGATGTGAAGATTTTAATGTGTAAGGATGTAAAGTTTTAGATTACCAGTAAGAAGGAGGAAAAATTTCTAAAAGTTTCAAGAATATAATTATACCTTCTGCCATCAGCAGTCTTAGTGACAGTAATCAGGGATGTAGTTTGGAGCTTATGAGCAGTAGAGCTTTCAATGCACACAGTAACAGACTGCCCTAGACCCTTCTCTATCACAGCTAGATAAAACAAAAATTATAACAATTACTATCCACTTATCAGATATCCCAAGAATAGGGTGTCTTTTTTTAGGGAGAGATTTTAATTTATACATTTTGATATAAAATTTAAATATGCCACACCAGTTTTGGACAAAAAGCAAGGTTTGAGCAGCAACATAAATGTTCAGTAACATGTTTTCCAAATTACAACTATGATAAGAATTTCCAATAAAAAGAATTACTATATAAAGTGAAATAGAAATCAAAAAATATTTTTATTTATAAAGCACACTCAGTAATTTGATTTTAGTTACATAGTTCTTATTTTAGTTATTTCAAAATGATAGGGATGATGTTCAAGGATTTATTAAACTATAAATTAGAATCAATTCTTATTGAGAGCCACCCTGAAGATTGAATATTCTATAACATTGGATATTTAAATTGTAATTAAACTTAATATTTCTTTAATCAAAGCCTAATATTCTTAATTATAGCATTTCACTAATTTTAAAAACAGTTAAACATCTTTACATTCGAATGACCCTTTAGTTCCTCCTTTTAAAAATGTGGCAATTCTTTAGTTTTTAATATGACTAAAATGATTGTAAATAAATTGTACGAAGAAATCAATTTAAATTTTGATACAACTAATCTCCATTATATATAATTTGAGTTCATATTCCAAAATTAGTAAAAAATATGAACCCTTATAAAATTTCATAATAGAAAAATATAACTACTCATTATATATATATATATATATATACATATGTTATTTAAGAGTCCTAAAATTTTTGAAACAACAAATCGAACAGGATAGAAATTAAACTACTCATGAAAGTAGCAGCCTTTCCCAGTTGCTTGCCATTGTACCTGTCATGAGTCGAAAGAATAACTAAACTACATTGGTGGGCTAGTAAAGAATGAGCATTGCAGGCAAAAATATACACCGAACAGAAAAACATTGAAATGCACTGATTTTATGCATTTACAAGTGTCATTACTATGCTATTCCTATCTCCAAATAACAAATTTTTCAGAAAATAAAAAATTCTTCACTTGTTACAAATAATAATTTGTGCAAATATAAACATCAATATATCACTGTATTGGATTTAGAGCATTTGATTTCGTAAGAATGCATATTTTTTGGACTCAATAATTTTTTCAAACATTACAAGATAACGTTTAGAGAATGTTGGAATAAGATTCAAAATTAATAAAGATTTGTAGTGAAACAACCTACATAGACTTGTTTTGATAATTTCATTTATAAAATTATCTTACTTTCAATTGTCAAAGGAATAGAGGCTTTTGTTTCAACATCTAAGAGGTCATATGGGGAAATAAAGTAGGTTAGCTTCAGAGAATAGCCTGTAAATAATAAACATACCAGCATTATATAATAAATAAATAGGAGTTAAGATAATACAGTTTGCTTTATTGACTAACAATACTTAATTGACATAAATAAAGTGACATCTCACCTCCTCGTCTGTTCTGTAAAATTCCCACAGCAGAATTGTGTACTAAATTTCTAGGTTCAGTACTTGAGCTATACAAAAAATAATAATAATAATAATTATGATTTTTCTAAATTTAAAATAATAATTACTAAATTAATTTTTACAAAAAATTTTAATTTCAAAGAAAAAATGTAACAATTTTGAAAACTTCTAAGTTATTAATACTCTATGCAAGGGTGGTGATAAAATAGTTTTAAATTTAACTAGTTCGAAGTTAAGATTTAATAATAATGATTCTACAATGTAAGGACAATTAGAAGTAATATTTTTATTAGCATTACATAAATATATATTAGCCGCTAGCAAAAACTAATTGCTTTGTAACTCCATGTTTGTTCTGACTGTCTTCGTTAGCATTGTTCCTAAATCCTAAGCATTTCACATAGTTAGGTGCGAATCAGAGAGTAGTAATTTGTTAGAATATATTACTTAGCCTAATTGTTAATTAATCTAATTACCCCAATCGTCACAAAATATTGAAATAAAGCTACTTTAGTCTTTGGATTTGTCTCATAAAAAACACTGTTAAAATTTCAGACTTCTATTTGGTAAAAAGGTGTTACTTAGCATTACTGTCAATTTAGGGTTAATTACCCTGATAATTGCAAATATCAAAATGAAAATTTTGAATTTGTCTTTTAATATGATAAAATATGAATGAACCAAATTTGAGACATCTATCTTGGCAAAAACATTTTAATTACCATAACTGTGAAATAGGCTAATTATCACATCGTGTAGATAATTACAAAATATTGAAATTAATATTTTTTCTTTTGTTCCAAACTTAGTTTTCTAACCTCATAAAAAGTATGAGAATTAGTGATGAGTGAGTGATGGCATTGCCGTTTATATTTACAGAGTTTTTTTTGTGAACATGAATAAAATTAATTCTATGAGTTGACATTTGGTACTAAGCTGTTTCAAGCATAGATCTATTTTTTAAAATTCTTTTTTACCAATATATTATTTAACGTCATAATTTACAAGCGAGACAACACAGTGGAATCATCCAATAACTTTTTGACTAATTATATCATCAATTGAAAGGAAAACGTACAAATCTATTTTATAAATAAAACACATCTAGTCATTTTCATGAAATAAGAAGACAAGCAAGATAGTATTCAGATTATTAAAAATATCACAAATAAGGAGCTATTTTTACCTTTTCAACTGAGCTAATTTGCCAAGATCAGTTTCTAATGCTTGTAGAGCAAGAAATGCTTGTGATTTCTGCATTCTAAAAATATAAACACAAATAACTACACCTCATAACAAGAAGTTTGTTGATATTTTAATTTTTAAAGTTTAAGGGAGAAAATATATTTTACATGACTAACAGCAATTTAGAATGGCACTTACTTTTCTGCATTTAGCTGATAAATAGATGCTAAACCTTCCATATGCTTAGTAAATTCTGAGAAGTTGCCAGCTCTAAAAAATTAAATTACGTAAAAATAATTTAAAAAACAAAAACTAAAATAAGTTCCAAATTATTTACATCTTTCAAAAGTTGTTAAACTGCTGAAAGCATTATTAAAATAAAACATTCAACAATTTTTCATAAATTATTGCTAATTTTAATCTGGATTGGCATTCTAGAGACATAATGTTATAATCCAAAATAGAAATTCTTTAGGGATATAGCTATAAGCCAAACAGTGCTGTCTAAAACTATGTTTTGCATAAAAATATAATTTATCTGAAACAGTGCCAGGTGACGTTTCATACTATTAGGGGAAAAAGATTAAATACAATATTTTTATTATTAAAGCCTCAATTATTAAATGTACATTTGTATTTAAAACATGTTCCAAATAAAATTGAAACAACTGTTCCTTACTTAATCACACAAACTAAGGACAAATTCTCCTCACACAGAATAGTTAATTTAAAAAAAAATAATAAAGTTTAAAAATATAATTTTCATGCATTTCTATAAAATAAAAAAATGCTCAACTTCTGAATAAAAAATATTCTGATGTTGGCAGTCCAATATCCAATTCTTTTTTAAGAAAGAAAACAATTGCTCACTTAGCATAAAATTGATAAAAAAAAAAAAAAAAANAAAAAAAAAAAAACATGAAATAAAATAACAGGAATGAGTTTGAAAAAATAATTAAGACAAAAAATTTGAGTTCACTTTAAAATTTCACTATAATTATTATATCACTATATTACACATTAAATCACAAACTTTCTTATTTTAAAAATCTTATAGAGACGGGTAAACAGACCAGTGAAAATATTTATGAACTAATAATAATTTTTATTTACTTTGGACTACTGACTAAATTTCAGTGCATGAAAGAAACTTTCAGCAATCTGGTTATCTTCTAAAAAAACTTGGCTTTACTTTCAAAATATAGAAAAAACTAGGCCAGGATAAAAAGTAAAAAACCACAGAAAAAAAGAATGGTGAAAAATCTTGAGAAGAATTTCATTTTGGAGGAAGAACTCCCTCTCTTTAAGATAAAAATTGAATTTTATTCAATAAAAAATACTTAAATTTTTACTTTAATATTAAATTATATTAGTAAAATATTAAACATTATACAATTTTTGAAATGACTCGCCATTTTAGTAAAGTTTTGTACATTAAACTGTTATACCCCATCTAAAATTAGCCTTTGTATACAAACAGGCACATATTGTAAGTTAAGAAAAACAGAAAAAGAAATGGATATTTCAGTTATAATTTAATCAAGAAGCAGAGCAATTTTTCAATAAACTTCAAAAAGATTTTTTTTTTTTTTTTGGGAGATAAAATTTGCCTTAAAACTCCACCAACAAGCATTTAATTTGATGTAAAGTTTAATATAGCAATAACTATAATACAAATAAAAGTTTAAGACAGATTTCGGTGAAGAAAAATTTGAAAGCAAGTTTCAATGTTTTTATGTTTCTATTTAATAATTTCATAACATTAATTTTGATAAACATTATAAATCTTTTGTATGTTCCTTGAAGACAAGGATAATTACATATCCATCCTCTGCATTCAGAGATGGCTACTAAAAAAATTTGCAAAAAACCAACAAAACTTACTTCAGGACTTTGACAAGTTCGGGACAAGTCTGAAAATAGAAAAAAACAAAACAATTATTTTATGTTATGTAAATTAAAATACATAATCACATAATAACAAAGTTTACATTTATTACAGATACTTGCAAAAAAACATTTATAAGTTTATTTTCAGAAGTCAAGTAAAAGTTCATTTCCTGACCATTGATCAATATTAAAGTTGTTTATAACCACATTATTTCAGAAATATAATTAAAATAATATTCAAACGAAAAGCTATTTATATTTTGCAAAAATTATTAGATTCTGAACAAGTATGGAAAAAAAAGTTTATTTCATACTCTTTGAACTCTATCTTTGCGAACAAGAAAATAAATTGCTTACATTATTTTTTACTTACACCAAAACTTCCATTGTAGTGAAAATCAAAAAATAATTCACAAACATAAGATAATAAAGATAAGCATTCACTGTACCAGAATTTTTTCGGGTTTTCTGTGACATACCTTTCTAATACTAATATCTTCCTGCAAGATATTTAAAAATAACAAATATACATGTTACTAATTTAAAGCAATAGAAGCGTTAACTTCAAAAAAAATTAAATTAAATAAAAAAAATTGGATCAAATAAAATAATTTTTTTAATTGAGTATGTAACTTTTTTATTCTAATATTATGGGCAATATTCTCGCATTTTGCAAAGATAACACACTAATTATTTTCCTTTTTAGATTACACACTAATTATTTCCTTTTTCGCATTTAATAATCCATCATCACATTAAAAAAATAAAATAGTAAAATCAGTAGCAGTAACTGTCGAGAAAAAAAGATAGACGACGAAATCAAACGAATCGGACTCTTCAAAAAAGGGGTTACTAAATGCGTGTTTTCATTTCGAAATTTAGTTGTTGTGATAAATAATATCGGATTTTTAAAGCTATGTGGAAATCAATAGTAATAACTGCATGAAAAATTTGAACAAAAATTCATAGAAAAGAAAACCAAATTTTTACTTCATTATTCTTGTATTTTCCATTATTCTCTAATGTGAATGAAAAAAACACAAGCATTTTTCCCCCCACTCCGATGCACGAGAAAGGCATCTTTTGAATATAATTCTGAAGAAAAGATAAAATTTTACGAAAATTTCTGCAGAAAAGAAAAGCAAAATTTTTTATTTCACAAAGGAAAAATCCAGCTGCAAGAACTCAGTAACGTTCTGCAACAATGTCGCCACAATTCTGCCACTGGGTTTCTAAGCAATTTTGTGAAAAAATATTTAAGATCAGAAACCAAATTTTATATTCAGTTTATTAAAAAAAAAAACCAATTTTTTTTATACTTAATATAAAACATAAGTTAACACTTACACAAAAATCACAAACAAACAAGCTTATAAAAGAAACAACTAGTTAGGTATTTTACAGTAGTACCTTTACTTAAGTAATATCAAAGCAAAGATCCATTATTATGCTGAATCAACCTCTTCAATTTAAACAAAATACAAAACTTACCTTCAGAAGCTTAATTTTTTTGTTACGCAGGGAAATGTTTTCGAGAAATTAATAACTAAACAACTACCACAATATTTGTTACCTACATATTATTACGTATAACATTTTGTAGTCATATGTTGGTATTTTTCACTATGGAAATAAAAAATTTTTTTTTTCAATTATGTTCACTATATTTTATACATCTTTAGCTATACTATTCTAAAAAAAAAAAAATTAAATTTAAGCAATTTCTTTTTATTTTAGTTTAATGATTCGTCAATTTTTGTCACAAATGGAGATGTGAATATATACCTTTTAATAACCAGTAAAACTTTTTAAACATTTATAAAAAAGCAAATAATTGTTAATTATAAATGTTTTAATGCACTTCATAATGGTACATATTCTGGGCACATGTTGCAATTAAAAAAATGAAATTACATAAAGTTGCAAAATAATTTGACAGCTTATTTTACTCAAGAGTTTCCAGCTTCACATAGTAATTTTTTATAGAAAACTATTTTCTTAAAAATTTACTTAATTTTGTAAAAAATCACACGTCTGATATTTAAAGTTCACATGAAGTTACAAAAAGAAAATAACATTGAATGAGTATTTTTTGAGCCACCTTTATCAATAGAAAACAAACAAACAGAAAATACAAAACATATTAACCAGTAAAAGAGATAGTTCTTACTCAAAATATTAGTTAAAAATAACTACTATTCCACATAACTATGTCAAGAAAGAGTTAAGCACCTTACTGAATTTAAACACTTTTTCTTATCAATAGTAAAATAGTTACACTATATCATTATTAAATGAATGAAAAAAATAAGGGATATTACTGTTGTTGCTTGGTCAACTTGATGATTAATTTTTACATATTATTAAATGAATGAAAAAAAATAAGGAATATTACTGTTGATGCTTGGTCAGCTTGATGATTAATCTTTACATCTTTCACAGCACCACTATTTTCCAAAAGTATCTCAACGTAGAACATGTCATTAAAAAGGTATAACTCAGGAGTAGGATAGCGGTTAGAAAATTTTACCCTGAAAAAAAAAGAGAAAAATATATTAAAGTCACAGACTATGACCACAGAAATATAAGACATAGACTAAACTGGGATAAGAAAACTATGATTAATAGATAAACTAAAGCTTTAATCATTAAGAATCTTATAATCTAACAATACTTTTACAATTAAATAATTTAAGTAATTAGAACATGTGTTACTCACCCTTGAACTTGTCTACTAATGCTTTCTAATCTTTCAATCATACTTCGCAGAGAGGTAACTATTAAAAGAAAGATTTAAACCATACATTAAATTGGAGAATGTTTTGAAAATATAAAAATGTTTAATATTAAAATTGGTCATAATTATTACCTTTAATGGATTTTTGTAAAGTGTCCAATACTTTTTGCAACTGAGAACGGTCACTAGCATTCATCAAATGACGTTTTTCCTTTAAATGAAAGAGACAGCAATTAGGTTTTTTTGTATTTTTCTGATTTTAATTATTTATTATTGATATTTCGTAATTTTGAGAGAGAATTTTTTTTTCCTTTTGGCATAGACAAGCTTATTCATTTGTTCTCTAATTAAAACTGAAAAATTGATTCCATACCTTTAATGAACTAGAACAAAATGAAAAGAAACTTATAGAATATAAATTAAATATTTATTTTGCATTATAATGATAATTTGAAAAGCATCATAGAACGAGCAACTCAATCACTATAGATAGACACTGCTAGAAACAAGCATTTTTTCAAACCTTTAAAAATACAAAAGAATATATGTTTATTGAAATTGTTATTAAAATAGGGAATAATTAAAAGCACAAAAGCTTAAATGTTAATAAGATGGCTTTTTGAGATTGATTTGACTGCTGTTTCTTTTTTTGTGATATTAAATAAAATAAAAAATTTCATAAGGCTACAAACAAACTGTAAAAAAATGTCGAAGGTGTAATGAAATGTTTCCAAATTAATTGATAAGACTAGTTTGAACTAAAGATAAATTAAATATTTTGCAGATTTTTATATTAAAACTCACTAAAAATATGTACAGTACAGAACCCGTTATCCGAAAATCAGAAGACCGGAAAACCAAAAAACCAGAACGAAATTCGATAAATTTTCCCGCCATTTTTAAAAAAAATTTTTTTTTTCCTCATAAGATTTTAGGATTTTTCTTTCTTTTTTGAAAGATTTTCACCTTACCATCATATAGGAAATAATCATTAGTGTATTACTTCATCGTTTTTTCTTCTTTTTAAGATTATTTCCAAAAAAAAATTTTTTTTAGTTGGGTTTAACAATAAAAAAAACGGCTTTTTGTAGCGATTCAGAAAACCGGAAAAATCAGTTATCCGGAATAGCGATGGTCCTGATCGTTCCGGATAATCGGTTCCCTACTGTAATATAAATTCTACTAGCTGTTTACCTTGAAATTTTCACTTTGAGGACGACAAACTAAGTTTTAAATTAAAACTTTAAAATTCTTTTTCTATATTTTACTTTGAACTATTAAAAAGCAAAATATTTTCTTAAGTAAAATGCGAAAGAAAAAGACAAATTAAAGCTAGGTCTGAAATTAGAATTATATCAAAAAATTATTTATAAGGTAATTTAAATATATGTAAAAGCTTTTTTCTTTTCTTAGTGCCCTTTTTTTAGAAATTTATACATATATTTACAATTATAATTTATTATAACAAACTGTTTACTCACTTTTATAAAGTTATAATTATAAGAACTTTACAAACTAAGGAAGTCATACATTAGTTAACTTTTAGGAAAAATATCTTTGAAATATTTCAGTAGTATTAAAGCTCAAATTCACTCTCAGTTTGACTTAAATTGGTATAGAAAAATTGTATATTACTGATGTCTTCACAAAATGTCAGTATATACATAATATAACAGAATGTATTAAATAATTATAAAAAAATAATTAAATATCACAAATATAGCTGATATTGTTCAAGGAAATTGAAGCCCAAAATCAGTTGGTTTATAAAGGTCTTAACAGACTTATAGAGGAATACAGAAATAAAACATATAAAAAATAAAATTTTAGATATATACTCATATGTTTCACCAATTCTAATTAGTCAGTATAAAATATGGCACTTCTTTAATTTGATAATTAATTATGATATACCTTTTATCAAAGACATCAAAAATATTCAATAGTTGGGGAAAAATAACTTGTTTCTAAAAATTTATATTTCTTTTAATTATACAAACTCTAAAAATAAAATATAAAGTCCTATTATTAGTAAATAATTTAGTTTCATAAGTTCTAAATTTACACAAATGAAAGGTATGGTTAAATATTAGGGAACAAATATTTAAAAAAACAAACATGTTATACCGTTACTGCAACTCTCAAAGACTTTGACATCTCCATCCATGATCGATACTGACCAGCTTTAGATTTCAGTTTTTCCATTAAAGTTTCCAATGAACTTTCTTTTACTGGTTCAGGACAAGGTGCCTCTGTAATGATCAAGAAACTTTAGGATAAAGTAACATATATGTTTTACGTGAGAAATCTCATATAAATATAAAAATAAGATGTAATTTTTAGAGTATTGTTAATTTTGCCACAAAACAAAGAGCTTTCAGATAAAAANAAAAAAAAAAAACATGAAATAAAAATACAAGAATGAGTTTGCAAAAATAATTAAGACAAAAATTTGAGTTCAGTTTAAAATTCACTATAATTATCTCACTATATTAAATGATTAACTTTCTTTTTTAAAAAAATCTTATAGAGACAGGTAAACAGACCAGTGAAAATGTTTATGAACTAATAATAATTTTATTTACTTTGGACTAATGACTAAATTTTAGTGCACGAAAGAAACTTTCAGCAATTAGGTTATCTTCTAACAAAACTTGGCTTTACTTTCAAACAAAATATAGTATAAAACTAGGCCAGGATAAAAAGAAAAAACCACAGAAAAAAAGAAAGGTGAAAAATCTTGAGAATGAAGGAAGTACTTCATGTCTTTAAGATAAAAATTGAATTTTATTCAATAAAAAATACTTAAATTTTTACTTTAATATTAAATTATATTAGTAAAATATTAAACATTATACAATTTTTGAAATGGTTTGCCATTTTATTAAAGTTTTGTACATTAAACTGCTACACCCCATCGAAAATTAGCTTTTGACATTCAAAACATCATCCTTATTTTTAATCCATTTTAACAAAATAAATTAAACTTACAAATAGGCACACATTATAAAACAGAAAAGGATATTTCAGTTATAATTTAATCAAGAAGCAGAGCAATTTTTCAATAAACTTCAAAAATATTTTTTTGAGAGATAAAATTTGGTTTAAAACTTCAACACAAGCATTTAATTTGATGTAAAGTTTAATACAGCAATAACTATAATAGAAATAAAAGTTTAAGACAGATTCCGGTGAAGAAAAATTTGAAAACAAGTTTCAATGTTTTAATACAATTATTTTTGTCAATATCTATTTAATGTTAAATAATTTCAAAACATTAATTTTGATAAACATTATAATCTTTTGTGTGTTCCTTGAAGACAAGGATGATTAAGCATCCATCTTCTATACTCAGAGATGGCTACTAAAAAATTTGCAAAAAACGAACAAAAAAAAAACTTACTTCAGGACTTTGACAAGTTCGGGACAAGTCTGAAAATAGAAAAAAAAAAAAAACAATTATTTTATGTTACGTAAATTAAAATACATAATCACATTAACTTTAAAAATCAGAGTAATCTTAAACCAAGTCATCACATAAAAACTCTTTTAAAACATTTATAAGTTTATTTTCAAAAGTCGAGTAAAAGTTCATTTCCTGACCATAGATCTATATTAAAGTTGTTTACAACTTCATTATTTCAGAAATATAATTAAAATAATATTGAAAAGAAAAGCTATTTATATTTTGTAAAAACTTTTTATATTCTGAACAAGTATGGAAAAAAAATTTATTTCATACTCTTTGAACTCTATCTTTGCAAACAAGAAAATAAATTGCTTAGACTATTTTTTATTTACACCAAAACTTCCATTGAAGTCAAAACCAAAATATAATTCACAAACATAAGATAATAAAGATAAGCATTCACTTCTTTCTAAGCCCTGTGCTAGAATTTCTTCGGGCTTTCTGCGACATACCTCTCTTAATATCTTTCTGCAAGATATTTAAAAATAACAACCATACATGTTACTAATTTAAAGTAATAGAAGCGTTAACTTCAAAAGAATTAAATAAAACTTGGATCAAATAAAATAATTTTTTTAAATCGAATATGTGATTTTTTTTAATTTTAATATTATGGGCGATATTCTCACATTTTGTAGAAAGATAACACACTAATTATTTCCTTTTTGGCATTTTATAATTCATCATCACATTAAAAAAATAAAATAGTAAAATCAGTAACAGTAATTGCAAAAAAAAAAAAGAAAAAAGAAAAAGATAGATGATGAAATTACGTGAACCAGATTCTTCAAAACGGGGTTACTAAATGCGTGTTTTCATTTCGAGATTTAGTTGTTGTGATAAATATCGGATTTTAAAAGCTATGTGAAAATCAGTAGTAATAACTACATGAAAAATTCAAACGAAAATTTCCACAGGGAAGAGTTTTTTTTTTATTTCATTATTCTCCAATGAGAATAAAAAATCACAAGCATTTTTTTTCCCACTCCGATGCATGAGAAAGGCATATTTTGAATATAAATCTGAAGAAAAGATAAAATGTTTTGAAAAATTCTGCAGAAAAGAAAGTAAAATCTTTTGTTTCCCAAAGGAAAAATCCTTCTGCAATAACTCAGTAAACATTTTGCAACAATGTCACCATAATTCTGCCACTGTGTTTCTAAGCGATTTTGTGAAAAAATATTTAAGAACAAAAACCAAATTTTATTTTCAGTTTTGAAAAGAAAAATTTTTTTTATGCCTAATATAAAACATAAGTTAACACTTACATAAAAACCAAGTAAAAATTACCATAAGCACAAACATACAAGCTTATAAAACAAACAACTATTTAGGTATTATACAGTAGTACCTTTACTCCAGTAATGTCAAAGCAAAGTATCATTATTATTTTGAATTAACCTCTTCAATTTAAATGAAATACAAAACTTACACAGCTTCAGATACTTAATTATTTTTGTTACACAGGGAAATATTTTCGACAAATTAATAACTGAGCAACTACTACTTCATAATTTTTTGGTCATTCATAATATTTGTTACACCTTATTACGTATGACATTTTGTAGTCCTATGTTGTTCAATACATTCTATACTCTTTAGCTATACTATTCTAAAAAAAAAAAAAAAAAAAAAAAAAAAAAAAAAAAAAAAAAAAAAANAAAAAAAATCAAAATTGAAGTAATTTTTTTTTTTTAATGATTCGTCCATTTTTGTCACAAATGGAGATATGTGAAATTGAACACAGTTAATACATTCCTTTTAAGAACTAGTTAAACTTTTTAAACATTCTGAAAAAGCAAATAATTGTTAATTGTAAATGGTTTAATGCACTTTATAATGGTACATATTCTAGGCACATGTTGCAATTAAAAAAATGAAATTACATAAAGTTGCAAAATAATTGGACAGCTTATTTTTCTCAAGAGTTTCCAGCTTCACATAGTAATTTTTTACAGAAAACTATTTTCTTAAAAATTTACTAAATTTTGTAAAAAATCACAAGTTTGATATTTAAAACTCATATGAAGTTGCAAAAAGTAAAATAGCATTGAATGAGTATTTTTTAAGCCACCTTTATCAAAAAAAACAAAAAAAAAAACAAAAAAAAAACAGAAAATACAAAATTAACATATTCATCGGTTAAAGAGATAGTTTTAACTAATATTTTGAGTAAAAACTAACTACTATATCAAGAAAAAGTTAAGCATGTTAATAAATTTAAATACTTTTTCTTTGAACACTATATCATTATTAAATGAATGAAAAAAATAAGGGATATTACTGTTGATGCTTGGTCAGCTTGATGATTAATCTTTACATCTTTCACAGCACCACTATTTTCCAAAAGTATCTCAACGTAGAACATGTCATTAAAAAGGTATAACTCAGGAGTTGGATAGCGGTTAGAAAACTTTACCCTGAAAAATAAGAAAAATATACTGAAGTCACAGACTATGATCAGAGAAATATAAGGCATAGACTAAACTGAAGTAAAAAAAAATGACTAATAGATAAACTAAAGCTTTAATCATTAAGAACCTTATAATGTAACAATACTTTGACAATTAAATAATTTAAGTAATTAGAACAGGTGTTACTCACCCTTGAACTTGTCTACTAATGCTTTCTAATCTTTCAATCATGCTTCGCAGAGAGGTAACTATTAAAAAAAAAGAAGATTTAAACCAAATATTAAATTGAAGAATGTTTTTGAAAATGCAAAAATGTTTAATATTAAAATTGGTTATAATTATTACCTTTAATGGATTTTTGTAAAGTGTCCAATACTTTCTGCAACTGAGAACGGTCACTAGCATTCATCAAATGGCGTTTTTCCTTTGAATGAAAAAGACAGCAATTTGGTTTTTTGTATTTTTCTGATTTTAATTTATTATTATTATTTTGCAATTGTGAGAGAGAATGATTTTTTTCTTTTTGAATAGACAAGCTTATTCATGTTTTTTTTAAATTAAAACTGTAAAATTTATTCCATACCTTTAATGAACTAGAACAAAATAAAAAGTAACTCATAGAATAAAAATTAAATATTTTATTTTGCATTATAATATTAATTTGAAAAGCATCATGGAACATGCAACTCAATCACTATAGATAGACACTGCTAAAAATAAGCATTTTTTCAAACCTTTTAGAACACAGAAGAATATATATTTATTGAAATTGTTATTAAAATAGGAAATAATTGAAGCACAAAAACTTTAATAAGATGACATTTTGAGTTGAATACAAATTTTTCTTTTTTTGATATAAAATTAAGAATTTTTTTTTTAATAAAATGAAATGTAATAAAATGTTAAAGGTGTAATGAATTTTCCAATTATTTGATAAGACTAGTTTGAACTTAATATAAATTAAAACATTTCGCAGATTTTTATCTTAAAACTCATTGAAAATATGTAATAAAAATTCTACAAGCTATTTACCTTAAAATTTTTACTTTGAGTTTAAATTTTAACTCAAAGGCAAACTAAGTTTTAAATTAAAAGTTTAAAAAAAAAAATTTCTATATATTTTACTTAAAACTATTTAAAAACACAATATTTTCTTAAGTGAAAGGCAAAAGAAAAAGACAAATTAAAGCTAGGTCTGAAATTAGAATTGCATAAAAAAATTATTTAAATGTTAAAAAAATTTAAAAGTTACTTCAAATATTAGTAAAAGCTTTTTTCTTTTTTTGCCCTATTTTAGAAATATATACAGTAGAGAACCGATTATCCGGAACGATTGCTATTCCGGATAACTGATTTTTCCAGTTTTCTGAATCGCTACAAAAAAGCCGTTTTTTCAGTGTTAAACCTAACTAAAAAAAAAAAATTTGGGGAAATAATCTTAAAAATAAGAAAAAACGATGAGGTAATACACTAATGATTATTTCTGAAATGATGGTAAGGTAAACATATTACATATTTCATAAAAGAAAGAAAAATCCTAAAATCTTCTGAAGAAAAAAAAGTTTTTATTTAAAAAATTGCGGGAAAATTTATCGAATTTCATTCCGGTTTTCTGATTTCCGGATAACGGGTTCTGTACTGTACATACATTTACAATCATAATTTATTATAACAAACTATTTACTCACTTTTCTAAAGTTATAACTATAAGAACTTTACGAATTAAGGTAGTCATACATCAGATAACCTCTAGGAAATATATCTTTGAAATACTTCAGTAGTATTAAAGCTTAAATTTACTCTCAGTTTGACTTAAATTTGTATAGAAAAATTGTATATTACTGATGTCTATACATAATAAAAAAGAATGTATTAAATTATTATAACAAAAATAATAAAATATCACAAATATAGCTGATATTGTTCAAGGAAATTGTAGCGCAAAATCAGTTGGTTTATAAAGGTCTTAACAGACTCATAGAGGAATACAGAAATAAAACATTTAAAAGTTAAAATTTTAGATATATCCTCATATGTTAAAATAATTCTAATTAGTCAGTATAAAATATGGCACTTCTTTCATTTAATAATTATGATATACCTTTTACCAAAAACAGCAAAAATATTCAATAGTTGGTGAAAAATAACTTGTTTCTAAAAAGTTATGTTTCTTTTAATTAAACAAACTCTAAAAATAAAATATAAAGTGCTATTAGTAAATAATTTAGTTCCATAAGTTCTAAATTTACACAAATGAAAGGTATGGTTAAATATTAGAGAACAAATATTTAAAATAACAACATGTTATACCATTACTGCAACTCTCAAAGACTTTGACATCTCCATCCATGATCGATACTGACCAGCTTTAGATTTCAGTTTTTCCATTAAAGTTTCCAATGAACTTTCTTTTACTGGTTCAGGACAAGGTGCCTCTGTAAGGATGAAGAAACTTTAGGATAAATTAACATATATAATAATGTTTTACAGGTGAAATCTCATAAATATAAAAATAAAATGTAATTTTTATAGTATTGATAATTTTGCCACAAAACTAAGAGCTTTCAGATAACAAGAATGAAATAAATGAACGTAATAATTCAAAAATTTATGATTAGCCATTTAAAGATCTGCCATCATTTAATTACCTCCTCTAATTATACCCAAACATGTTATATTGATAGTAATAACACTATAGAAAAATAACTTATCAACATAACGCTTCATAATAACCCATAGTGCAATAGCAATGCAAAGCGAAAATTTCAAATTGTTAACCCCATTATTTACAATTATAAAACGCCGTGGTAAATAGTAATTTTAAAACTCTCCTATAAGATCTCATTAAATACTAATACATTAATTACATTACATTAATAATATACTTTTACTACAAGCTTAAATAAAAAAAATTTACACAATAATTAAAAGAAACATTGTGTTTTATTAGTTCTTACATAAGAGATTTAAAGATATAATTAAAGGATTTCAGGGTGTTAAATTCTTTCCTATAACCTGACAATTCTCATGGATGAGGAATTAGAATACAAATTTATTTAGATCTAATAAATCTAATACTTGTAAAAAAAATCAACCATACAGGAAATATTAAACTATATTTACTGGATAATAACATTTATAATAATATGAATATGACAATATCACATGGGATAAATAAAGGCTAATAAGAATAATAAACAAATTACAAAAGCCATATGAGTAGGATATGACTGCAAAATATTTAACTGAATGTTGATTTATGCTAATATAGTCATGGGACTTAAATAAATTAGTATAAAATGTTGTTTATATTACAACCATAAGAATAAAATGTACAATTTTTAACGGAGTTATTTGGAAGTTTATCTAATATATACAAATTAATATCCTTAATAAAAATCAGGATGAAAGAAAAAAATACACTTACCTATTATTGACACAAAAATTAGTTTAACTAAACCAATTTGAAAATCAACCGAGTTTATCAGAAGAGTTAGCCGTCTTTTGAATTAACTTTAGTATTGTATAAGGGTTTCTTGAGTAAAAATTAAAATGTAAACACAGAAATTAACTTAACGTTTTAATCTATTATTTCAACAAATCGTGTGAAATAAATAAATCGTACAAATATATGTTCAATTAAATATGAATTTATGGCATAAAACATAACATTATTAATATAATTAAATTTATAAATATAAAATGATCACAACATACCAACTACAGGGACGATTACTTCAGGACTTACAGCTTCTTGTGCAGCCATGGTAAACATCAAGAGTAGAAATAACTACAAATAAAAGCAATCAAACATTCCTTATCCTCACGTTAGCGGACTTTAAATAGATACAGGATAAATATTAATAAAGAAGAGAAGTCATGTCAGTTGCTTTTCCTATCGCAGACATTAGCCAGCGCCAGAGATCCACACACAAACTACAGTGGACATTTTAAGAAATTGCTACATTGTTGCCAATCTATGTCAGTTAAATAATGGGTTTGTAAATATGTTTGTATCTGTGATTTTTTAACATATTTATTTCTAATAACTGTTACTTTAATACTTGTTACTTTACATTTAAATCTACCAACCAACAAAATCTTGTAACTTGCGGTGACACAAAATTGTAATAAAAGGATAATACAAAATAATAATAATACAAACAGTGCCGGAAACTCTCTCAGAGATGCCACGACATTTGAAAATTAGGTACATTTAGGCAAAAAGGATTTATATACATTCGATCAAGTGTCCACAGAACTAGTGAAATGTAATGAAATTCACTAGAGCATTACTTGATATAACTCATAAAAAGTAGCCATTCGTAATTGAACTCATACCACTCATTGAAGTCATAAAGTGTAAAAGAAAAGTTAAAGAATTGAGTAAAGAAAAAATGGTCATAAAGTAGGGTTCCCGAGATAAGCAACGCTGTTTCCAGGCTCTGGATGGTTGACGAAAATGTACTGTGAGTTCCAACTGAAATTATCTCAGACATTCTAAAATGAGAGTTCCGAAGTGGATTGATCGTAAAGAACCATTGGGACATCGAAATAAAGCATCACTGTCTGCGGTCAATAAGAGGGTGGGTGACCACTTTGATCAGCCTACGTTGGGACTGAGGGTGAGCGGTATCGATCTTCGTTAAACTGTTTTACAGCAAACAGCTCGACTTCGCGTGTAAGTTGTAGGGCTACCAACGCAGGGGAGCCATCCCTTCTGCAGTGCAGAGGATCAAAATTGTAATGGATTGTCTTCTAAATCATCCTCAGGGATGTTTCCCAGACTTTTGACAATAGTCCATTGTGCAGTTCTAGTGCGACGTAAATGAAGTACCTAGCTAATTAATTAAATTAAAAATTATGGAAATCTCCCTATCCACTCTATTCAACAAATATTTTCCCTTTCAAAAAATTGTTCAATCAGATTAGCGTGAAATCAGGGCCCACCCAAACAGTATTCATTTGGTCGATGACTTTCTATAAGGTGAAGTTGTGACACCAGACCTAAACCCTACAGAGCATGTTTGCTGTGACATTCGCAGTCCATGTTCACCGTAACATTGCCTAAAACAACGCAGCTAAACGAGTTGGGCCCATTGCCGCAGGAACTCTTAAACTGTCTATAAATTTAAAAGAATAATTCATATTTTCTGTTAAGCTTTTTTTTTTTCGTTTTGTAATCATTGTTTCATGCCATATGGCAATATATCATAAGTTATTATGTTTTTTTGGGGCCAATTTAAGTTTTAGGTAATGTAAGAACTTGAAATTTCCCCATAGCGTGGCATTGCATAGTTAAATGTGTTGAAGTTAAATTTCAATTGTAAATAAACAGATCATTATGAGAAAAAGAAATATTTTAATAAAGATTATAACATAAGACAAACTTAGACGAAAAAAAGAAAAGAACACTTCTATTGATATATTTTCTATAAATTAATAATAATAAGTTGCCAAAATCAAACGAACAAAAACAAGGCAATGCATCAGTCAGACTGCATCAGTCAACAACCTCGATTTTCTGATTTCATCAATAACCTCCGGTCCTGGTACTTTATATTCTTTCACTCCCCCTTACCAGGGCACGGGAATGATCACTACACATATACACAATATATCACAGTTATTCTATAAAACCTAACTGAGTCCTCAAACTATTGAGTACTTTCTTCGAAATGTTTTTTGTTAAGAGGTCAGCTACATTATCTCGTGAATTAATATATTGAAAGTCGACAATTCTTTGATCTACATTGTCCCGTATGAAATGATACCTAAGATCTATGTGTTTACTCCGATCAGACGTAGTTTGATTTTTAGCTATGAACATAGCTGCCTGGTTATCAACATTTATTAGTACTGGAGGTGGTACAAACATTTCTTTACCGAGCTCAAACAGTAAACTCTTTATCCACAATACTTCTTTGGTGGCATGGGCCATCGCCAGGTATTCAGCTTCTGCGGAAGACAATGCAGTGCAATGTTGTTTTTTACTGGACCAAGACACCGCAGCACCCCCAAGAATGACCACATAACCACTAAATGATTTTCTGTCAATGCAATCTGCTGCCCAGTCTGCATCGGAAAATACTTCTAGCTTCTTTCGAGTTTTTCTATATGTCAAACAAAGATGTTTTGTTTGTTTAAGATACCTGAATAAGTGTTTGACACTTCGCCAATGGTTTTCAGAAGGTCTTTCGTTAAACTGGCTCATATAAGTTGAACTATAAGCAATGTCAGGGCGAGTACCACAGGCAAGATACAGTAAACTGCCTATCGCCTGCCTGTATGGAATTTTGTTCGATGTTTCTTTAGTTTCCTTCCACTCAGCATCGGTTAACTTATAGTGTTTAACACTTGGGTCTAAGGGAGTTGATGCTCCTCTGAGTAAGATTGCATCAAAGGTCTTCAATACTTCTTCTACATAGGATGTTTGGTCTAAGGTTAAGGATCCATCATCATACCTTTTCACTTTCATCGATAAAATTTCACTTACTTCTCCAAGATCTCTTGCTCTATACTTTTGTTTAAACTTAAGTTTAAACATGTCTATGGCTTCTGAATTTCCAACAATAAGCATATCATCAACATATATGCCAAGGTAAAGTGTTTTATTTGGATGATAGTAAATGCATGGATCACTTTTAGAACGTGTTAATCCAAAATCTCTCAAAAAGGTGTCGAAACACGTATTCCACTCTCTTCCAGATTGTTTCAATCCTGGGTAGTGCCAATAAGATCCTGATAGATTTTAATTTGATCACGGGAGAGAATGTTTCTTGAAAGTCAATTCCAGGAACTTGCATGTAACCTTTAGCTACCAGTCTAGCTTTAAATTTATCACAATCTCCTGTCTCAGCTTTCTTTTTCCGAAATATCCATCTAGAACTGATAAGCTTGACATTTGGTGGTTTGCTAACAAGCTCCCACGTTTGTGCACAACGTAAGTTTTTAATTTCTTCATCTATGGCCTTTTGCCACAAATTTGCTTCTTGTGATGTTAGAGCCCCTTCCAATGTTACAGGGTCCCTATGGAATTGCTTTGCATTTTCAGAACATGCTTCGTTTGCCTTGTAAAGTACATAATCTTGCAAGTGTGCAGCGGTTTTAATAGCTCTTGTGCTTCCTCTGGCAGAATCACTTCGACAGACTTGATTATTTGGATCTTCTTGATCATGCTCTAGCTAGTTGGACTCCTCTGTCATTTCAACTTGTTGGTAAGTCTGATCTCCACAAACATTATTTTGGGATTAATCTTGGCTGATGGCGTTTGTGTCTGGATTCTGATCTATTTCTTCTGGCGATGTTTCATGTAGTTCAGAATTTGGATGTTTATTTGATTTTTCATCACTTGAGTTCATATTGTCTGTGTCTTCATTTTCAATAAATAAGGAAATCTTATCTTCATAGGGTCCTTCTTTGGTCAATTTGAAAGGGAACGCATCTTCTTCAAAGAGCACATCTCTGCTGATAAAAAACTTTTTTCTTTCTGGATCCCAGAGTTTATATCCTTTGATACCACTTGGGTACCCAATATGGATACATTCTATAGCCTTTGGGTCAAATTTGTTCCGCCTTTGAAATGAGCGTGTATGGCTCCAGACCCGACATCCAAAAACTTTCAAGTGATCCAAGTTCGTTTCTTTACCTGACCATAACTTTTCTGGCGTACTTCTTCCAATTGCAGTAGATGGGCGTCTATTTCGGAGATAAGATGCTGTGCACACAGCTTCAGCCCAGAATTCTGGCTTTGCTCCTGATTCTATGAGAAGGCATCTGGTAATGTTGATCAAAGTCTGGTTCATCCTTTCTGAAATTCCATTTTGTTGAGGGGATTCCGGCACAGTTAGCTGCCTTTGAATTCCATATTTAATAAGATAGTTGTCAAAGTTTTGTGACTTAAACTCACCTCCATTATCACTTCTCAAAATTTTTATCTTTTTGCTGTGAAAATTTTCAGCCATTCCCTTGTATTCATCAAACTTCACTATGACTTCATCTTTAGTTTTGATTAGATACACTGTAGAGTAACGAGAAAAATCATCGGTGAACACAACAAAGTAATTTGAGCCTCCCAGTGACGNCTGTCTTTAGAATTAACTTTAGTATTGTGTAATGGTTTCTTGAGTGAAAATTAAATGTAAACACAGAAATTAATTTAACGTTTTAATCTATTATTTCAACAAATAGCGTGAAATAAATAAATCGCACAAAAATTTGTTTAATTAAATATGAATTTATGGCATAAAACATAACATTATTAATATAATTAAATTTATAAATATAAAATGATCGCAACATACCAACTACTGGGACGATTACTTCAGGACTTACAGCTTCTTGTGCAGCCATGGTAAACATCAAGAGTAGAAATAACTACAAATAAAAGCAATCAAACATTCCTTATCCTCACGTTAGCGGACTTTAAATAGATACAGGATAAATATTAATAAAGAAGAGAAGTCATGTCAGTTGCTTTTCCTATCGCAGACATTAGCCAGCGCCAGACATCCACACACAAACTACAGTGGACATTTTAAGAAATTGCTACATTGTTGCCAATCTTTGTCAGTTAAATAATGGGTTTGTAAATATGTTTGTATCTGTGATTTTTAATATATCTATTTCTAATAACTGTTACTTTATTACTTGTTACTTTACATTTAAATCAACCAACCAACAAAATCTTGTAACTTGCGGTGACACAAAAATGTAATAAAGGGATAATACGAAATAATAATAATAATAATAATACAAACAGTGCCGGAAACTCTCTCAGAGATACCACGACATTTGAAAATTAGGTACATTTAGGCGAAAAAGGATTACATATACATTGGATTAAGTGCCCACAGAACTAGTGAAATGTAATGAAATTCACTAAAACATTAGCTGATATAACTCGTAAAAAGTAGCCATTCGTAAGTGAACTCATACCACTCATTGAAGTCATAAAGTGTGAAAGAAAAGTTACAGAATTGAATAAAGAAAAATTGGTCACAAAGTAGGGTTGCCGAGCTAAGCAACGCTGTTTTCAGGCTCTGGGTGGTTGACGAAAATGTATTGTGAGTTCTAATTGAAATTATCTCAGATTTCAGACATTCTAAAATGAGAGTTCCAAAGTGGATTGATCGTAAAGAACCATTGGGAGATCGAAATAAAGCACCACTGTCTGTGGTCAGTAAGCGGGTGGGTGACCACTTTGATCAGCCTACGTTGGGACTCATCGATCTTCGTTAAACTGTTTTACAGCAAAGAGCTTGACTTCGCGTGTAAGTTGTAGGGCTACCAAAGCAGGGGAGCCATCCCTTCTGCAGTGCAGAGGATCAAAATTGCAGTGGCACGTCATCTAATCATCCTCAGGGATCTAGTGCGTCATCTAGTGCGAAGAAAATGAAGTACCTAGCTAATTAATCAAATTAAAAATTATGGAAATCTCACTATTCACTCTATTCAACAAATATTTTCCCTTTCAAAAAATTGTTCAATCAGATTAGCGTGAAATTAAAGTGAAATCAGGGCCCACCCAAATAGTGTTCATTTGGTCGATGACTTTCTATAAGGTGAAGTTGTGACACCAGACCTAAACCATACAGAGCATGTTTGCTGTGACACTCGCAGTCCATGTTCACTGTAACATTGCCTAAAACAACGCAGCTGAACGAGTTGGGCCCATTGCCGCAGGAATTCTTAAACTGTCTATAAATTTATAAGAAAAATCTATATTTTCTATTAAGCTTTTTTTTTCCGCTTTGTAACCATTGTTTCATGCCCCATATTAATATATCATAAGTTATTATGTTTTTTGGGGCCAATTTAAGTTTTAGGTAATGAAAGAACTTGAAAATTTCCCATAGCGTGGCATTGTATAGTTAAATGTACACTGAAGAAAAAATTTTGTAAAAAAAAAATAAATCATTTTATTTTGTTTCCATTACACTTGGGATTTTTCTGATATCCTTTATTGTTATCAATTAATTAAATGATAACGCCGCAATTTTATTAGAGGAATTTTTCAAAAAAATCTTGCAATCAAGACTACTATGATGATAAATATCCTTTTAAATTTTTTAGGTATATCTGATAAAAATGAAAAAGGTGATGGGACCCTTAAAGGGAAAACTATATGAGAAAAATTTTTTATTCAGGAATTGATTTTTAATTACGTTACATGAATTTGGTACCCCGCTGATGCATTACTCAACTTCTTTTCCTCCCTTCATATATGCCTCCGGTTATAGTTAATACTTATTTAATATTAGAGATAAATTTTGGCCTCTTTTTTCTCTTCTTCTTTTCATCTTGATAGCCTAGAATTAAGGAATGAACAGGAAGAGGTGTAGTACTTCAATTCTAGGTGCTCTTTTCTTCCACTCTAATCCGTATTTTTGCATAAACGGGCTTCGAACGCGATCATCAAGCTCAAATTTTCTATTTTATCATTTAAAACTACATAGTTTGAAATGGGATAAAAATTAGCATATTTTAGTTCTAAATTTTTACCACCTTATAGCATAAAAGAATGAAAAATAATAAATAATTAAAAAAAGGAATTATCGTTAAATAAACGAATTTTCTAAATGCGACTAACATTTTTTTGATTGGATTCGCACTATAAGTTCCCAGAATATGGTGAAATACGCAATAACTGAAATAACAGTAAGTGGACCAAAATTTCGACTGCTCTCCTGACTATACTATTTGGAGCATATATTTCAGTTTTGCTACTACATACTTCGATAGTCCAAATCGATCGGAATTCTAAGAAAGCTTATTCGGAGAAAGTCCATTTTTGTGTCTGATTCCGTAACTATTATTGGTTAGAGTTAATTAATTAGCATATTAGAGGTTACCTTCTAGAACTATTTAGATTGACTCTTAGTATTTGAAAATCCGATCATTTTTGAACAAAAGTTGATTGTTTTTTTAAGCACTGTAGGGGAGAGTGGGGTCAATTGTAACAGGGTACGATTGTAACAGAGCAAAAATTTCGAGTGTCGGGTTCTAGATTTGGTTCCTAGGTGGAGCACAAGGTGTATTTTATTAATCTACATATACACCCCTGCTGGCAATCATTTTTATTTACTTTTGAGAGAGTTACATCACAAAAGATATTTTCACACTACGTAAGTACTTTTTTTGGTATTAGAATATTATATTGTAACAAAGTAATTTTGTTTAAACAAATAAAAATTATTAACCGAATATGTAAGTGGACACCTTAATTAACATTTCAAAAAAAAAAAAAGATTAGTTTTGCTAATTAACTAGCATTGTTTTTAACAAATGAAGCTGAAATGGCGTCTTGGGGACAATTGTAACAATAAGTAAAGGGACGATTGTAACAGCTGAAAATAAATAATCTTATGTTTACAAACCATTACTTAACTCTTTAAGAACCACCAATAGTTTCCTATATCATTTATATTATGTTGCATGTGCATTATTTTATTTGTCACCTTTCACAGCATAAATTAAAATTTTTAACCCCTTAAAGTTAAAAGTTTAACCCTTTAGGTCTCTGCTCATTATTATTTTTACTCCTAAAATATCACTACTATTTTGATCAATAAAAAAATATATCACAACTATGATAATATGTATAATTAACTATGTTTTAGTTGAATTTATGAACTGTTACAATTGACCCCGTAAGTGGGGACAATTGTAACAAGTGCACGACTGTCAAAAATCGTTAATAACTAATATAATAACATTTAAAATAAGGTATTTATTATTTTTTTTCTAGTAGATGATAGTCTAATTTTCTCGTCTGTCAATTAATGCTAATAATATTTCGGATTTTTTGTTAGTTAAAAATAGTTAAGTTAAAAATATTACAATTGACCCCACTATTACCTACATGATATTTTTGAATGATTTATAATATAAAAAAATAATCAAGAATGGCAAATAATCCAAAAAAGTGTTTGAAATTTAAATTTCGTTAACACCTCATGAATGAATGATTTAACTTGCACCGAGCGTGAATACAATTTTTATTACATATTCGTACAAGCATTTACAGATTTGCAGTATCACGAAAGATTAGCGGATCTTCGTTCCAAACGCATACTTCTCAGGATGTACTTTTCTTATATCTCTTTTTACTTGATAACCTTTAGGCCTTACCCACAAAGAAAAGTCTTTCATGTCGCCCTCGTTCAGAGGTAGATATCTCTGGTATATCTAATTAGATTAAATTAAAGAAATATATTAGGCTAACATGAGTAAAAATGTTTTTTTTCTTTCAAAAAAATCACATGAAATGTAGGAATATGCATGTTTTATCAAATCATAAAATTGAACGCTTGTTAAAATACTTTGTCTGCTAATTAAGGCATCTGACGAGTTTCGACAACTTTTTTTTAAAAATATTAAACTAAAATTTTAAAAAACTAGTTTATTTGTATTATTATTCTATGTAAAACTTATAAAAATAGCAACGGAAAAAAATTCTTATCATTATTATTCTTTTAAATAACCATTTTTAGAAAGAATGGAACTTTTTCGCATATACGCTAAACACTGTAAAAAAATTTCTTTCGCCTAAAACCAAAAATCCTTTGAGGATTTCATTTAGAAGGCTATCAGCTGTGTTTTGATCTATTATCTTAAGTGCATATACTACTGAGTTAGGGATCAATGTAGTTAAAAAAAAAAAAAAAAGAACAAATTAAAAAAAATTTCTGCACGTAAGATAACATGCATAAAAATTAAATTCTACTTTTTTCTCTTAGTTCGTAGTTTAAAACATGTGTGCTATAATCATAAGCACTCGCGACAAATTGTAGACAATTATTTTAAAAATAACATGAGATATCGTGCTTAAAGTGGTGTAAAATGTGAAAAAAAACCTGATTTTTGCGCATTAAAGATCTTAAAATCATCAGTCTCTTCATTGTTATCACCTTGCACAAAAACAGCTATAGCTTTGTAAATAATTAGAGTACAAACAAAAGCAAAGTATATTTACAAAGCTACGAGGACACAGGGACTCTAAACTTACAATAAACTCAATTAGCCAAACCCTTCTTCACATCAATATTCGATCTTAACATTCCTTTAGCTCGGACGAATATCTCTAATTCTGCAGGAAGACCACCAGTTTTATTGATGTCAGTTGGTATTATTTTATTCATATCTAATGCCCAGAATGAAAAAAAGAATCTGAGCGATCAACACGCTTCGCCTCTCACGGTTTTTATTTCTAAATTTATATCCTGCTAAATATCTTTTATAAGAGAAATTTTTTCTCCTATATAAAACTAAAATTAATTAATCTATTTCAATTAATGAATTAATATTTGAAAAAACTGTATTAACGTCAAGTGCCATCCACTACTAGTTTTAAAAAAATTACTTGACCTTGAGAGGATGAATAAAAAGTATTTTATTAGCGACTGAAAATTTGACCAAAATATATAAATATATAGAGAGAGAATGTGAACTAATAGCAGGAATTGAAAAAAATATACATATTTGTAGCATTTAGACCCCCCTCCTCAGTAATGTGGGTGCCCTAGGACTGGGCCTATCTGGCTTTATGGAAAATAAGGCACTGGACACCAGTACATTCCATTTATTTACTTTTTCACTTTTCCACACCATTCATAACCATCTAGTACGTGGTTTACCTCTCTTTCTTTTTCTCATAGGCTTGTAATAAGTTACTATTATTATTTTGATAGAGTTGTTTCAGCTATATGACCAACTCACTAATTTTATTAATTTATGTCGATAGACCATATTTATGCTGAGTGATGTCAGCATTCCTTTTTGAATGAAAAAATAAGCTATTTGGAACCACATATTTGAATAGAAATTACCAGTTAAATATGCTCACAGGTACACGTTAATACATAAAAGAGTTTATAAATGAAATGCATCTTGCTTGCATCATAACAATAATCTGATGAAATGACCAGCCATAACTTATCACACGAGAGTAAATTACACATTATGCTGGGGACAAATAAGATGAGACTATTGTATAAGCCGTTATTAGAAAAAAATTAAAATAATTATTACGTTATTCACCAGTGAATTATTTTTTTTTTCTATTTGTTGTATTATCTACTGAGCGAAAGCTTAAGATTTCTAGTGATTTTTGTTGTTATAATTATTATTAATAATATTTCGCTAAGTAATCCCGTAGCAGAAGATAATAAATTTCGTCTTCATGTGAACATGACATTTTGTGGCAAAGGATTATAGTTACCCCAAGTGTTTTAAAGTTACTCGAAGTTGCCTTTTCAATCTGTGTTTCAACTGCTAAAGATACGTATATGCTTTTCATAAATAAACTGTATATGCAATTTTATATGATAGCCGTCGTTGAACAGCCAACCTAATTTTGGTTTTACAACTACTAATGTTCAACTCCATAGCCTTGTAATTTTGAACCCAATCCAGATGACAAGAAAACTCCTGGATCAAGTATTGGGAGAAATTTCGCCATCGTAGAGGAAACTAACCAGCATTTGCGGTATATAGAGAGGAAAATCAAGAAAACCTTACACGGTCAGTCTCACATCAAGGGGACTTTAACCCATGATCCGTTTACCACTGAGGATATCTTACGTCTGTACTATGGTTGGTACGAGCCGAGTGCGGAATTCGTATCGAACAGTTATCCCTGGGATTCGAAATAAACCATAGGTATGAGCCACCACGGCTCATATATGCAATTTTAAAAAATGTCAACCAATTCAATCAAAATAAATTATGTCATTATGGCTAAAAAAAATTTTTTTTTGAGTGTGATATGTTACTTTGTTTTGCACGTCTGTGATAACATGATTTAAACATGATTTAAAAATAACAGAAAAATGATTAATGCTTTCGGGATAGCAACATGAATAAAGTTGCGATGCTAATGTTTTGCAAACTGTAAGACTGTTTTACATTCTGGTAAAAGGAATTGTTAATCACTATCAGCAAAATTCAATTATTTGTTATAAATATTTACACGAAAATGGTGAACAGAAAAGTATGTATTTTAACTCAAATGTTAATTTGCGAGTCTTGATGCGCCTAGTTTTTTTCAGGGCAACTTTACTTGATTGAAATTTGTAAAACAAATTACGCAAGTGACTTTCAATGGTTTTACATCCAGGAGACTGTGAAATACACTGTTGGAGTAGTACTTTATTTAGTCGCACTAGAGTTGCACAATGGGCTAATGGCGATGGTCTGGGAAACATTCTTGAGGATGATCCGAAGACATGCCATCATAATACCCCAATGGCCTACGCGGGAAACTAGGCATTATATAATAGTGCAGTTCAACGAGTATCGATGTCGCATAGCTTCGGTCCCTTCGCAGGCTGATCAAAGTGGTCATTCACCAGCTTACTGACCACAGCAAGTGATTCTTGACTTCTGTGATCCACTGAAAACCGTGTCTTGCGATCATTCCACTGTGGTCGTTATCACCACCGTGTGGAGATAACACCACCACCGTCGATTGATTTTAGCTTACAGATGTCTTAAACATCTGTAAGCTAAGTAGAACATTTCAAAAATATTATTCATTAAATTGAGAATTCTAAAATGACTTACATCCACAAACTTATCTTTTTCTTTTTCAGTCGAAAATCCATGAAGTAGAATATTTACTAAAGCACTTTTGGCATGTAGGACGGCTGCCTTTTTAAGTTGCGCTCTCATATCTTGTTTAGCTTGATGAGCCTAAAAGAGGTCAGAATAACAATGCTAAATAATCAACAGTATCAAAGGGGTTTACCATAAAAAAATTGCAGAAGTATTAGAGTTTATAAGTTAATTTTGATAAAATTTTATTCCAAAAAAGAGCTAAAGTCAATTTTATTTCAAAAATTATTTTTTAAATAAAAAATGTCTGACAATCAGTTCTAAAACAAAATTAAGCAGAAAAAAAAATCAACCAGGGAGATAAACCGCAGTCAAAATTCGCTAGAGAGTTACTACAGCAAATGGCAACACTTTATATATATATTCCCGGAATCCCCAGAAAAGCTTGTGTTCTTCGACAAAAATTCCCCTAATTATCATTGACTTTTCCTTGCTGATCTTTCATTCAAATAAGCATATAGATTACATATGTGTTTACGAAATGAGTGTTTTGTAGCAGGATCATTTTATTTATTTATTTTTGCACTCGCTTAAATACACGCGTTATATACTTACTCTGTTCATGATGTAATCTTTCAATTCCACTGTGCAAGATCTTCTCATTTCCTTCACTTTGTCTTTAGGGAACTTCATTATTGGCAGTGGAATCCTACCTTGATGCATTTGATTTATTATCTGTTGAATTTCAGATTGAAGATCTGTACGTTCTTTTAATTTCTTCTTAACAGAAATCGGAATCACAGATTTCGGCTGATGATCTGAAAGTTTTGAATGGACTATCAATATTTTAGAAAGTGAGAACAATAACAGAAAGTAAAGTACAGGTAACCCAAATTTGAATCTCGGCTGTGCATATGTTAGTACAGGAACCATTCCTGGCCCACGTTGACCATGAATTGACATAGAGATAAACAAGTGGTAGTGTTTACAGCATCACGAAGACTTTATTGATGTTGAACAATGAAGTGTGATATTGTTTTCCGTTTCATCTAAAGTGAATGCGGGTTAAGTTCATTTAGAATTTTCCCAATAATGCTGAGTAAAAAAGGAAAAAAGAAGAAAAGAAAAACTGTTCCTCAACTGTGACAATAAGCATACTTATAAGTGTGGTAAAACTACTGCTTAGAACAATCAATGATTCTTCGATAGCAGGAAAAAATCAACACATTTTGAATAAATCGAAATACATAGATTATCTTAAAGAATGGCTAGTAACAGACGTTGAAGAAACTGTCGCTAAATGAGATGTGAAAAGATTTTGAGGTTTTACTTTGGGCGTAACATAAATGTTAATTTGAGACACTTTTTGTCATACTGTAGCTTTATTTATCGAAGGTTACAAAACGAAAATTGGAAAATAATTGTCATAATTGATTTTTTTCAGCAGAGAGGAATTCCATCAGTTTCTATTTTAAGAGAGAAGCAATATGATTGATTTTAATCAGTTACATGTTTATGATGTCCATGTAAAAAAACTGATAAAAATATTTTGCATTTCCAAATTCAGTATGAAACATAAATTATTTTTAAACAAAATGAAAAAAAAGTGCTTTCGGACCACAAATGTAGTTTAAAAAAAAAAACAGACTCAGAAGCTGTTAAACGAGTATATAAGTATTAACTTTAAAAACTCAAATAGGAAAAAAAAATCAATCCGAAAATCATACATGAAATATTTATTATGCAATGCAAGGAATATTTGCATAGTAGACGCAAAGGAAAATGACTCAACTTCTTATAGTTTATGTTGGCCCTACCCTTCCATTTTGCAATCTAGTTTTAAATATTGAAACGTGCCGTAATTCATATCGTTCATTGAGACAGAAGAAATAATTTTGCTGTACTCAAATTAGTGTATGAAAGAAGGCTAGGATTTAAAATGAAAGTTGCCATTTTAATAATACTTACCAATAAGAGGCAATGGATATTTGCTTTTCTTCCATTCTTTATAAAGTTTTCCTTGTTTAAATCTTGGTACAAAAGGTACAGGCTGAGCGTAGGGCGAGCCAGTTAGGTCAAATAAGTGTTTTAAATTTAGAGATGCTTTCAGTTGCTTTTCTTCCATTTCTGCTTCACTAAGAGCTAAAAAGAACATTTTACACAGAAAATAATAGAAACTGTACAAAATTAATCTCTTATTAAAAAGTGATGTATAATTCAGTGCTTTCATAAAAATAACTCTTTATTCTAGGAAAAAGTAATTCTTTGTTCCTATAAAAAAATTACTTTCGGTACAATACTAATGATAAACAAATAAAAACAATGTTATTAATATATTAAACACATAAAATAAATACATATATTCAATTGTGTGTTTCAATGTTTTTGTTGCAGTGTTGATATTGTAGCCAATGCTGTGATGAGGTAAAATTCCAGTTGAAAGAAGAAAATTGTTATAAATATGTAATGTTTAAGAAATAAATGATGTCAAGAATTACTTTCAGAGTTAAAAAATAAATATTTTGACATAAAAAAATTCTAGAAAAAAAAAATTCATCATGTAGCTTCTATGAAAAACAAGCAAACAAAAAAAAACTCTATTATCTAAGAAAGAATTATTAATTTTATTATTTTTTTTTATTATTTCTATAATTTTAAAATTCAGAATATAAACATCAGCTGGATGTGTTTGGTTCTAGTTTATAATAATATTTGGAGAAAGTTACATTTTTTCTTTAATGGTATTCTTACATTTTTCGTATTTGGTTTTATGTCGCCGGAACTTTTACTTATGAAAAGCTTACTCGCAAATTACATTTACGAAGACTTTTTTTTTTTTTTACATCGAAAACAAAAATAATCTGGATTGCATCTCAACAACTGATTTTGGGTACACAGGAATACATTTCGCATGAAATGGGATTCATTACTGAATTCTGTTGGTATACCAAGACGCGTCTGCTTTAAGCCATAGTGTTGCACCTTCCATAAAGTTGTACCTTTTCTAGTGCATTAACTTTAACCGAAGAATATACATAGGAGAAGAAGGCTTGCTTCCGTAGACATAATGTAAACCAGATCCCCAAGTATTGGTGTGGTCTCTGTGTGTAAAGGAAGAAACAATATTTAGAGGTGCAGCAGAGGTTCTTGAAGCGGATTTCCACCCTCCTCTCCTTCCAACCACTACAGGGGTTGGGGAGAAGAAGACAAGTTTCTTCTTTTTATTTATTTATGGTTTGTTCTACATTTTACACTATTGATAAACGGTACTGTACCGTTAATAAAGATATTCCTTTGAGAAACCATTTATTTCATCCACGTTGATTGAATTTTCTAAAACATTTTGACACAGAAAGAGAGAATACAATGATGGTTGGCGGGAGACAGTGTACACAACCATTTCTATTGGCCCAACAACCGGTTCACAGGTGACGTACCTCCTGACAGTCACTTTGCTTCTTATGCGCATGCGCTGGATTTTAGTACATACTATGCTCTTTTAAATCTGAGTATGTTGCTCATCTTGGAAGTTGTTTTTCTGATCGAGCATACCGAACAGAGCAGTTTCCCACGTTTTAGTTACCTATTCTAAGAGCTAGACTTATTCTTCTTTCTATATTGTTCGCTTTAACTATGGTGTAATTTATGTAAAATGAATGACTTTCTTAAAAAGAGTGCTTGCTTTATTTCATGGTATAGTTAATATAGTTAAATTTGAAAGTCAATATGACTAAATTAAGGAAAAAAAAAACGAGAATTAAACTTACTATCGTACAAAGGTGACAAAATAACAAAGAATTTTAAAGTTCGTCTTAAAATGCATCGAGAACGCCTTTCCATCAGTGTATATCAGTGAAATCAAAATAAAAGCTTCAAGGTAACTTCAAAATATATTCAGTGTAAAAAAGGGTATCTTGAAATCGAGCAAAAATACATCAAAATAGCTCCGAAACAGATAATAGTCGAATTTGTAAACTCCATGTATTCATAATTGAAGCAACATGCACTCATTATTGAGCAAAATGCATGTGGAGAGAAAAATGTGTGAGAGAGATATTCGTTACCTACCTGCAGGATTCGAACCAAGGACCTCCGGTTTCGTTGTAAGATATGCTTTAATCACAATAGTTGTAACCTCAGTCCAGGGATAGTTAGTAAATTTTACATAGTGCCTGCCACAATGACACATCATGAAATACAAATTTCTAATTTCATTGGTACAAAGAGTTGCAATTTGAGAAATATAGTCCCAATAACTTAGTCAGGAGATCAGTAATTTTAATTTGACTGATTGCTCATTCATCTATATCTTAAAAACTTTCAAGCGAGTGAAACGTATGGTGCGTCATTGCGGCGGCAACTATAAGGTTTTGGCTGGGGTGTACTACAATTTTGGCGGTTAGAGCAGTCTACTACGAACCCGAAAGTCATTAGTTAGTTCGAATCCTGCCATCCGCCAATGGACATCTCTCTCACACATTTCGCTCACCGCATGGATTTTGATCAATAATGAGCATATGTTGTTTCATTTCAATAGAATGTCATCAATATGGGGTTTTTAAATTCGACTATTCTGTGTGTAGGATCGATTTGGACACATAATTGCTCTTTTTTGTGAAACCCTTTTATTACAGTGTTGTAAATTTACCATCAAGTCTAGTAGCTTCCAAATGGTGATGCAGCACCGTTGATTTTCTCCTCGTAGTCTGTGTGTAGAATCTTGCGATGTCTTCCACGCTGGTAATCAAGACATAATTTGCGATGGCAGACAGAATAAGAGTTTGGCGAGGTGTGGCGACTTTAGAAGACACAGTTTCGTCTACGTCTTCTGCAATCACAGTTTTATACATTATAATATCTGGTGCAGCACTACATAATACACATTATTACGTGTTAAAACTATTGCATAATAATATATTAATAGTTTTTGTTTAATTAGGCGATAGTTTATTAATTTTAGGCTACCCACACCAACTCTTGTCTTTGCTTCTCATTTCTCTCTTTTTTTCTCTTTAAAAGTCGATATTTTGTACAAAAAATAAACAAATAAAAATAAAGATAGTTTTGTGTACAATTATTAGAATTTGATGCAAGAGCATTTCGTTAATATGTAAATCGTAAGGAAATTAACGATTACCTGGTTAAGTAAAATAATCAACTGTACTTCTAAAAAAATTAACTTACGGAATGCGTAAATGTTAAGAAGAAGTAAATGAGAAGTACTTTTGCTCGTTAAAGCGTCTTAATTCATTGTAATAGTTCAAATAGAGAATGGTTCTTATCTATCATGAAACAAATTTTTAGTAGTTTTAAAAGTTTCAATGTGAATGAAACTTTTAAAATTTCTATAATATTTTATAATTATAATATTTTTTTTCAAGGATTATATTTGTAACTGGAAACGTGCTATCTCTCTCTCTTCTTACATTACTTTCGACAACAACTGAAGCTCGAGCTTTTAAAATAAAATCTTGAGAGAGAGATAAATTTTCTCCCAACAGTGGACGCTCATTACTTAAAGCAAAAAATTGAGAAACATTTGTAAAATAGCACTTAAATATGAATAACTTTCGAACAAATTGGTACCTCAATGAAGTTCAAAAATAAAAGAAATGCCTTTTTATCACGCTCAACTCCGTAGTTGCATTTCCACGGACTGCAGAGTGGTCCACATGGAACTTTTTACTACAACTTTAATAATTAATAATTTTCGAATTAATTATCGATTTATTTTTGTTTTATCATACTTCTTGTGCACTTTTTTACACACCTGCGGTATTTTAAGTTTCTATGTCTTCTAGTTTTTGCGCAGCAAGCAAAAATTGTAATGCTAAGTTATACACCCAAAAACGCGGTGGTGGCTTTTACGAATTCTTTCATGCAGAGAGAAATTTTGTTTTTTTCCCCATTTTTGAATTGGAGTGTATTCGTGCAATCGATCTAATAATAAAGACTATCACAATAATTATCCTGCTTTACTCGTAATTTTAAAAAAAGGTACCTCATATTAGAACCATTCCTTCATTAATTCACTTGGTTTTCGTTTAGAAAACGCATTTCATCTCTCACGGCAAAAGAACATAATTTAGAAAGATTAGTTGTACATTGTGCAAAATAAAAAATAGATCGCCCTGAATAACTTTTGATGTAATGATTGAATATTCTTCACTTTCTAAGGAGTTAATATTAATGGTTTGAGGGAGTGACCTTAAATATACTAATTAATTAATGTAGACGATATTTTAAGTTACGAAATCAAAGATAAAAATGTATTTTTTTCCGAATAAACAGGCCTTGTTTTCGACGGATTTCTGATCTACAAAATATAGGGGGTAATCGCAATCTGGAAATTATGGTCCCCATAGCTTGGTTAGGCGAATGGTCCTAAGTTTCGACCTATTTTTTTCGCCATGTCTCAAGAACTTTTTAAGCGAATTGAAAATTTTTTTTCACACAATTATAATATACACCGAAGAGCCATTACATTATGAACACCCTCCATCTATAACAATGGGCTCTCCTAGGTTTTCATGGCTTTTCGCCCAGAAAACAATGCCCCATGAAAACGATGTGTTCATGGGGCACATTAGGACCCATAATCCTTATAGAACAATCCCTGACGTCTGTAAGCTACTTGAAAATAGTTGAAGACCAGGTTCACCATTTATGGCAACAGTTTTTCCTGCGGGGATGGTGTTTACCAACAGGATAATGCACCATGTCATAAGGATCGAATCGTCGAGGAACATTCCGGTGACTTTCAAGTCACGTCTTGGCCCCCAAATTCACCTGACCTTAATCCAATAGAGCTACTTGGAAAACCAAATTGTGCTGCCACGCTACCCCCTCGCAATATGAGGGAATCGCAGTACCAGTTGGTGAGCGCTTGGTACCAGGCTTGCTTGATGCTTGGTTTTAATATTACACGCAAACAACTCAACGTAGAAGGATGGTAGACATTGGAAAACGATTAACAAAATATTAGTAACTAAAAGCAATTAAAATCTGCAACGTAACCATACCAGTTGGTAAAGCCATTCAAAAGATGTAAGGGAAAGTTCAATCTATAACAAAAGGTTTCAGAAATTGAATTTAGTACTATCGATTCAGCAAATAGTAGAAGAAATACGATACAAATCGATGCGTCCGTTCTTGAGACTATTGTATACTATGCCTAGGCATTCTATAGAATGCCGGATTTCAAACTTTGCCGGTAGCATATTAATTGTATTGATGTAATTTGCTTTGGCTATATTAATACATTATATATATACATTATGACCACCCTCCATCCATAACAATGGGTTTTCATGGTTTCTCGACCAGTAAAAATGTTTTCATGGGGCACATTAGGACCCATAATCCTCATAGAACAATCCCTGACGTCTGTAAGCTACTTTTTGATGATTAGTACT